ACATTTAAAACACCGAATACTCCGAGAAATAAAGGCATGCATGGAACAAGGAAAACTCCGCAAACTTTTCCTGAAACCGCGAGTCTTTACTATTTAAGGGGGGAGGGGGGGGCCGGGGGAGGGGGGAAGGTATTCCTACACGTGTTTAGGAATCAGGTCCATGAACGCCTCCATTATTCAACTTGTCTCATCTATTGTGAACAACTTCTACTGAAATTATATGAGATTTTCATGCAAATGCCTTTGTAATCTGGGCTCCACCGCCCCAGGTCTTACAGGAGTCAGATAAGCCAGGTCGCACTCAAAGATCTGACTTTCCAATTCCTCAACTCCTCTCCTGAGCATTTCTAAACCGAACGGTCCCCGTCTTTCACCCTCCACCCCAACATCCAAGCAGAGAGCTTCTGCAGAAGCGAAGCGGTCACCATAGGAACCGGGCTCCGTCCTAAACCCCCAAGAAAGGGCAACTGCTCCCAGATGGCTTCCCCGGACCTCAACTCTGCCTGCAACCGCCCTCACCGCAGCTCTAGCAGTAAATGCCTACCTGGGGGTCACCCTCAGCTCTATCTGGGGGTCACCTTCAGCTCCGGGCCCCCGCCACACACTCCCTCCGGCAGCTGCCCTCTCCGGGACCTTCCGGCCCAGAGGCTGCTTCACGCCCACCGGGCGCCTCACCGAGGTCCTACCTGGATCCCCAACTCCATCCCGCATCCTCAGCCCGCCGTCCTCCCGGAGCTCACCCCGACGACTGCCAGGCTCCGCCTCCGCCTGGGATCCAGATCCCACCCATCCCCATCCTCCGCCCCTCTCCCTCACTTCCCACCCCGAAATCGACCGGCCCGCCCCGGTGCAGGTGGAGGAGGACAGGGCCCAGCGAGAAGGGGGCGGGGGCGGTTGGCCCCGGCCGGCGCCGTCCCCGGCCCCGCCTTCACGCTCTACCTGAGCCGAGCTCTTCCTCCGCCTCTCTCTCCTCGTCCGCTCCGCCTCCGAGCTCCGCGCCCGCAGCCCCTGTGCGCACGCGTACCGGGCCCCACCCTCCCTCTCGTGGGGCCTGCTAGACCTGCGCGCGCGCACACGCACCTAGCCACGCGTGGACCCACTCCCCGATCCTCACAGGTGCCGGGGCAAGGCCTTTTCCGGTCCAGCCTAGCCGAGCTGGCCCACGCCCCCGCAGAGTCTCTACGCCCCGCCCCCAGCGTCCCGTCTCCTAGCAACCAGCCGCCACTTAGTTCCTAACACTTGATGCTGCCACCGCGCTGGAAGGGACGCGCATGCGCAGGCCTGTGCGTCCTTCGGCCACCTTCCCAAAGCTGAGGAGCACCTGATTCTTGGATGCTCAGGCTTTGGACCACTTTTCCCAGCGATCGGGCACCACTCGGGACCCACGTTCAGTTGAACTCGTTATTCCCCAGAGCTTCTCTTGGGCGCTGGGAGGTTAGCGCGCTGTCCTGCGGGCAGTTGGGTGGTTTGGGGGGAGCCTCCCAGGTCAGGTCCCGCAGCGGCACCCAGGGAAGGAGCCGGCCTGTTGGGTGAGCACCTGTGGCCTGCAGTCTGGGGAGCCTGCAGACCCGCGGCCCCGGTCAGCCTGGCACGGTCCAGTCAGGGTTGAATCCGGAGCCCAGCTTGGAAAAGAAAAATGTCTTTATGTTTCTTAATGTTTTATGTGTCCCACCTTTCTCAAATAGCCCGCAGGTTTCTGAACTTTAATGGTGGCTTTATCTCCCTGTCTTTTCCACAGATTAAAACAGATAACTAGGTTTTTAAAGCTGTGCTCTGATTATCTTGATTTTGTATTGGCCTGTGTATTTCAAAAGTAATCTCACATTTGAAGAGACTAACAGTTCCTGTTTTTGCCAGGTAAGTACTCACTTCTTCCCATTATATATTATTCAGAAGCATAAACAAATTTTATGTTAGAACAAATTTCTTTATAGAAGTACATTTAAATAAGTCCCATATATTTTTCCATTCTCTGCTTTTTTTTTTCCATCATTATGTGTGCTGTTACATTTTCTCATATTTTGTAACATTTATTTTGCCATATCATATACTTTGTAAGTATAGCACGATACTATAAAGTTAAGAGTGTTGCTATTTTAGTTAAAGAAGTCAGAGGTCCCAAGAGGTACATTTCCTCTGAAATATAATTATACCTAATTAAGGAAATAATGTAGAGAAAAGATTACTTTATGGTCAAACCAGGATGTGAAGATTTTCCTTTAAAAAATATTAAGGATTATTAATTTCTTCCCCAGCCCAAGATGGTAGAAATATTCTTCCCTCATGAAAAGCCAGAGTGGTCAGTGCTCCATCCTGCCCCAATTATCCCTTTCATAGCACCTATGTGCTCTTCCTTCTGACACACTCCACTGCAATGCTAAGGTCTGAGTTTTCTATTCCCTTAGTTTCTCTATCATTTCACAAACTTTATTAAGAAAAATCGGTATGTTGCCTTTTTTTCTTTTTTCTTTTTGTTCTCCTGGTCGCAAAATACAATAAATAAATAAATTGGAGGCTCAAATTGCACATATGTTAAGCTGCTTGATGCTCTGTGTATTATTTTTTAGGCAGTTTCTATGATATATATTCAAGTTCACTATTCTTTCTTTAGGCGGTGTTAACCCCATCCACAATGGGATTTTTTTCACATCAAGTATATTTTCATTTAGTAACTTCAATTTCTTATTTTGTCATGCTCACACTTTGCTCTACCTTCTTGGAAATGTGGAATATATATATAATATTAACATAGCTGTTAAGGTCCTTGCATACTAATTCTATCATTTGTGTCATTCCTAGGTATGTTTCTGTCAACTTATTTTTTCTATTTATCATTCATATTTTTATGATTGTTTCCATAGCTCGTAAGTTTTTATTGCCTACCAGACATTGCAGATTTTACATGGTTAAGTGCTGGAGGTTTTTGTGATTAAGTATATTTAGGCTTTGCTCTGAGATGCTGTACGTTTACTTGGAAACAGTTGGATCCTTTAGAGCTGTCCTATCGAAAATAGGAACTACTAGCTACAAATGCCTATTTGAATTTATGCCAATAAAATTAAGTAGAAGTTAAACTTTAGTTCATTTGTATTATGTACATTTCAAATGTACACACGCAGCTACTGGCTACTATATTGTATCATCAATGAAAATAGTTCTATCGGACACTGCTGCTTTAGAAGCTTGCTTTTAAGCTGTTAGGTCCAAAGCAGTCTTTACCCAGGGCTGTTTTGGCCCCATTTCAGAACCAATATCTTTGTGAGGACTCTGTCTCTGTAGGCATCTTCCATGTTTTTATTGGACAGTCATAATCTTTGGATTAACTTCCTTGGTTAATTGTTAAGTATTTTATTACAATATTTTATTTATGCCACTTTAAAGGAATTTTTTTAATTGATTTCATAGAGGGAAGAGATAGAAACATCAATGATGAGAATCAATGATCAGCTGTCTCCTGCAGGCCTCACACTGGGGATCAAGCCTGTATTCTGGGCATGTGCCCCTGGCCAGAATCAAACCTGGGACCACTCAGTCTGCAGGCCAAAGTTCTATCCACTAAACCAAACCAACTAGGGCTGAAATTGGTTTTCTTTCTTTCTTTTCAGGTTCATTGTTAGTGTATAGAAATGCAACTGGTTTTTGTCAACTGTTTTTAACCATATTAACTTTGTATCCTACTACTTTGCTGAATTCATTTATTCTAACAATTTTTTGTGTGTAATATTTAGAGCTTTCTACATACAAGATCAAATTATCTGTGAAGACATAATTTTATTTCATCCTTTCTGATTAGTGTGCCTTTTATTTCTTTCTGCTAGAACTTCCAGTATTATGTTGCATATAAGTGACAAAAATGGGCATCCTTGCCTTATTCTTGATTTTAGAGGAAACGCTTTCTCCATTGAATATGATATTCACTAGGACTTTTTCACATATGGTTTTTATTTAGTTTCCTTCTTTTTCCAGTGTGTTGAGTGTTTTTATCATGGAAGGGTGCTGACTTTTATAAATGCTTTTTCTGCATCAAATGAAACAATCACGTGGCTCTTTTTCTTTATTCTGTAGTGTGGTGCATTACATTAATCAGTTTTTATATGCTGAATCATCTTTTTATTCTAGGAATAAATCCCACTTGGTCATGATATATGACCCTTTTAATATGCTGTAGTATGTAGTATTTTGTTGAGGATTTTGCACCAATGTGCATAAGGAATATTGGTCTGTAGTATTCTTGCACTGTGTTTGCCTGGCTTTGGTATCAGGGTAATGCTGGCCTCTTAGAATAAATTACTAGTAGAAAGTGGTCCCTCCTCTTTAATTTTTTAGAAAAAGTTTGAGAAAGATTGGTATGATTTATTCTTTAAATGTTACAATAGCATAAAAAAGAAAAGCTTTTCTTGTTTAGAGTTTTATTATTATTATTATTCAATCTCCTTAGTAGTCATAGGTCTATTTAGATTTTGCTTTTTGCTTTTTTTATATATATTTTATTGGTTTGAGATGAAAGGCAAGGGAGAGATATTAACAGCAATGTTGAGAAAGAATCATTGATCAGATGCCTCCTGCATGTTCGCCACAGGAGATCCAGCCTACAACCTGGGCATGTGCCCTGATTGGGAATCGAACCATGACCTCCTGATTCACAGGTCGATGCTCAATCACTGAGCTATGCCAGGTAGGCAGATTTCCCATTTTTTCATAACTTCATCTTGGTAAGTTTTTTCTAGGAATTTGTCCATTTCAGCTAGGATATACAATTTTGTGGCATGTATTCATAGCACTCTCTGTAGAATTAGTAGTAAAGTCCCAGGCTTTCATTTCTGATTTGTCATTTGAAACCACTTTTGTTTCAAAGATTTTATTTTTTCTATTATTTTTCTAGTGTCTATTTCATTTATCTCTGATCTCTGATTTAATTTCTTCTGTTAACTATGGATTTTGTCCTTTTTTTAGTTCCTTGAGTTGTAAAGTTAGGTTGTTAACTTGAGGTCCTTTTTGTTTGTTTAAAATGTTTATAGCTATAAATTTCCCAATTAGCACTGATTTTGCAGCATCTCATAAATTTTTATGTTGCATTTTAATTTATTTTGTTTCATCTGTACATATTTTCTAATTTCCCTTGTGATTTATTTGATCCATTGGTTGTTTCAGAGTGTATTGTTTAATTTCCACAGATTTGTGGATTTTCCTGTTTTACTTCTGTTGTTGATTTCTCACTTCATCCCACTGTAATCAGAGAAGACACTTTGTATATCTGCCTTTTAAAATCTATTGAAAGTCATATTGTAGCTTAAAACATGGTCCATTCTGGAAAATGTCCCATGTGAATTGAGAAGAATGTGTATGTTGTTTTTGAGTGGAATGTTCTATATATGTTGGTAAATCTATTTATTTTAATTTGTTTTCATATTTTCTTGTATTCTGTCTGATTGTTCTATTAAGAGTTGGGTACTGACATTTCCAACTATTAGTGCAGAACTATCTTTCCCTTCAGTTATGTCTGTTTTTGTCTCATATATTTTGATGGTGTGTTATTATTTAGTAAAAGTTTATAATTGTTTAGCTATATTTATATTTTTAGAAAACAACTAGAGAAGTGTTTGGACTTCAGTAATTATTTATTTAACGTATTAATAATTAATTAAAATTGTTGACAGCAAGAATGATAGAAAGGGCTAAGTAGAGAAGTTCTATTTCCTGAAAGGTGCTGAAACATAAAATCTGATAAATTCTTTTAAAAAACACTTTCAAAGAATCTATAGAATCTGTGATCCCTCCCACAGAGAAAAAGTAAACTGAGATGTGGCAGTGTTTTACTTTGTAGTTTTGGATCCATCACCATGACATTCCATTAACACGAACAGTGCCATGATGTTAGTTGAAATTCCCATTGTATTCACTTGTTTCCATTTCTCTCTCTCAAGCATTCAAGTTGAAGCAATCAAGTTGAAGAAACGTTTCCACTACTATATTTATTCAGCTGTTCCAATGGGATTTTGTATTAGTAAATCTGCTACTCAAGTATCTGCTATGTGTATGGATGCAAAAGTGGATGATCACTTAACTCAAGGGACTGAGAAAAGCAAGTTGGAACCAGTGACTCCTTTATTTCAAAACACTAAGAAAATAAGATTAGAAGACACAAACCAAGAAAACCTTGCAGGAGATAAAGAGACTGGTACAGGATCTCTTTCCGAGAAAGCCTTGGGTTCAGTAGTTTATGTTAAAGAAAGTGATGGAATAGAAATGACAGATGTGGAATGAAGGTGTTTTGTACATATTACTACAGAAATCAAAACTTGCTTTTGACTAACAGGGCATATTGATTGAGAACTTGACCTCAATAGGAAAACTAACAAAATGAAGGAAGATGATTACTTTTTCCCTCTGCTGTTTATAAATCACCTTAGACTATATTTGTTTGATGATACAAACTCAAAATAGTTGCTTTAGGGAGAGAAAGCTTTCCAAAATTCAAAGTAGATTTCTCTGGTATTCCATCCTTGTCAAAGTCAGTGTTTTGACTAAAAGTATTTAAATGGCACTAAAACATATTAATGATAAAGTATTTAACTAGTAATAAAAAAACACAAAACAGTGCCCAAACAATTTGACATCATTATGCCATACTATTTCTTGTGTACCAATTTTGTATGTTAGATTTCCAGTATGGGATTTTGCTTGAGGGGACTTTATCTTTCTACATTTTTACATTTCTGTTATATAAAAGTTCACTCTTGATAAACTATGCAAAAAAATCCTACAGTAAATTGTATACTTTGAAAAGCATTTCACATTTTAAATAATCTTTTTAAACTGTTATTATTTCTTCCACATCAAATTCATTTCAGAGTTACAACATAGTTATTTCAAAGTGTAGTTTATTTTACAGTTGCTACCATTTTTACCACCAATATTTAATATAAGGAAATAGCCTTAAAATTATTTAATATATATCATTTTGCCTTTCTTATTGAAATATATAGTAATTTGAAATGGCAGTATTGTCTCAAATAATGCTAGATGAAATTAAAACTATTTTGTGTCTGGACATATTATGAGTTGTAACTATTTATATTATGTGTGTTTTGAACATTTACCTATATTTTAATATTTAATGACTATCTCTAATGCTAAGTAATATCCTTCATATCCTCAAAAAGAAAAAGAAAAGAAAAAAGCTTAAGGGGAAGCAATATTTTATAAATTAAACAGTACTAAACCAGGAGTGTGTGTGTGTGTGTGTGTGTGTGTGTGTGTGTGTGTGTGTATAAGTGTTGAATGGGACATAACCAGTAAGATGATGCTTTTCATCATTTACAGAACATAATTCTTTAGGAGAGAAAAAAATACACAAATCATTAATTTGTTCACCTAACCTGAATTGCTTGAGAGAGAAAAAATACACAACTCATTCACTTGTTCACTTAACCTGGCATACTCCGTGCTGGACATGCAGTGGTGAGTAAAATAGGTACTGCCTTTACAGTGCTTATTGTCTGGCTACAGAGAAGATAGGACATCAGATAATAAATATATAAGATACAACTTGTGTGCCAAGAAGAAAAAGTAAAATGTTCAAAGAGACAGTTGAGGAGACATAACACATAAACTTGATTTTTTTCATAATATTACTAGAAAGGTTTCTCTGAGGACATGATAGGCATAGCTTTTGCAGGGACATGGTTGTCCAAATGAGATGATGGTGATGACTGAGGTGTTAAGAAGGGTATAGAGTCCGAGTAAAGTTTGGCAGGATGTACTGGTGATCTGAAAGTGAGGAGGAGAAAGAAGGTGTTTCTGGGGGGGGGGGGGGAAAAAAAAAAAAGCTAAATGCATGGAGGTTCCTGGGGTAGGGGTATGCACAGGGCATAGTTTTTGGACATCCCAAGTCCAAAGTCTGTATTGTGGAGCTAAACACATAAACATTTTGAAGTTGTATACAGAAATGCTATTTAAAGCCATAGGAATGAATGATATTGCTTAAGGTGAATGTAGAGTTTGAGATTAAGTCCTGAAAAACTCTAACATTTAGGAGCAGGTTGCGCCAGCAGGGGAGCTGGCAAAGGAGACTGAGAGTTGGCAGTGAGGTTGGTAATGTCAAGATTGCCCACAGGAGTCGTTAAGGTGGAGGTAGTCAACTGAAAGTTTAGATGAGGACTGAAAAGTCCATTGGATCTAGCAACATGTCACCAGTGACCTTAGCAAAACCCCTTAAAAAAGGAGGTGGGGGACTTTACTCAGGCATTTACAGACTGGTGTTTCACGTCCACAAATGTCCAACAGGACATTTTATACCTGTATTGTATGTTGAATTTAGGATGATCTTTCATTGTGTGTGATGGCCCATTCCCTGCAGGATGTCAAATGTGGTAGCACACCCAGTCACTGAGACAACAAAAAATACAAGCATTAATTACCCTCATTGAGAACCACTACTACTAAGACTTCATAAAATTGGGATCCCCAAATCCCATGCAAGCCATAAATCAGACGGCACACCTGGTAAGGGAAATTCCCAGACTTTCCCTGAAAGCGGTGCAATGGGACAAGTTTCATCAGAACAACAGCGTCACTTGGGTGTTTGTTTTGGGGGAGACTTCTGTAAGTGGAATCCTCAAGTAAGCACTTTTTGGAGTTTTATTGTTTCTGATAAGTAAATTTTCCATATTAAAAAAAAAATGCAGCACAGTGTTTCTTTAAATGCAATGTCTTTCCCACCTGATTGTAGTTTCCTCGCCTCCCAAGAAGAGTGACCTCCTTTTGGGCTGTGGAAAGGAGATCTTCAGGGACCCGATGCAATGCCTGATCGCTGTGAAAGCACTTACTTGCTGGCACCGGGCCTGGCATATGACCTCGATGCCTCGGGTTTCTGGCGGCCTCGCCCAGACTCGCCCACGAAGTGCCGGCTCCAGCCGGACACAGCCGCCCCTCCCACCTCCGCTCCGATGGTGACGCAGTGCGTGTCCACCTGAACTGTCGGCTCCATGGTTAGGTCATGCCCGCGTCCTGGCCTCTAACCTGGTTTGGCGCTGGCTCAGCCACTGCCAAGGTCCCTCAGAAGTCCTTCCGGGTCACTCAGACCCGCGCGGACCGCACAGGGGAGCGTGAAGCCCAGCTCTGCAGGGCACTTCCGGTGGCTTAGAGCTACTTCCGGGGCGGGGCGGAGTCCGCTGCGCGCGCAGCCTGCCAGTCGGGGAGACCGCACTTCTGGGTGCCCGGTTCGAATCAGCGTAACTGGGAGCAGCAGGTGGGATATCCCCGCCGAACGCTTGGTTCTGGGGCGCCGCTAGCCGGGCGGGCGGGAAGGTGGGAGCCCCCCAGGCCCGGATCCGCGCGCTGGTGCCGGAGGCGCTGCAGTGTGCGCTCAGCCCCTGGGAGTAGTCGGCTCCCGGTTGGAAAAGGTTTCTCCCCAATATCAGAGGGTAAAACCTAAAATGTGTTGGGTGCCATCCCACCGATCCAGAAAGGCGAAATAAAACGTGCACAGGGCCGTCCTGAGACTCTGGGTCAGGGACGCACTGTCAGAAATGGCAGGAGGACGCGCAGAGGTGTTCTAAAGGAGCTGGGGCTGCCTTGGTGGATGAGTGTGACTTACTGCTTGCTTTCTGTTTGGTTAACCGAAGAAGTGCAGTCTGGCTGCAGGGACTTCCCAAGGCAATGTAGCATAGATGTCAGTGCAACCAGAAGACTAGAAGTGTTACGTCTGTCCCTGGGGAGGGAGTCTCCAAAACATGCCTTACTAATAGATAACTCCTTGTCTTTTTGTGTCTGAAATATGCTACTCCCATCCACTTGGTAAACACCAGCAGATTTCAAGACAGTTCAAGTATCCCTTCCTCTATTAAACTGTCCTAATCTCTCTGGTGTAAACTGGCTCAACTTTTCTGTAGCATAATTTATCAAAATATATCAAGAGTGATGAAAATCTGAAACTCTAACTTGGAAATTGTTTCTAGGATATTGCTTAACTACAAAAGACTTTGGCCTACTTTTGGACTTTAATAATTCATTCTATCCCAATTATTTAACTAAAAGAAATATTATGACCATCCTAAGAAACAGAATTGGGACAGAATGGTTTCTTTATGACCATAACTAATCAAAATATTTCATTGATGTAATTAGTATTTTCAGCCCTTTGCCACTAATATTTAATCAGCACTGCTAAAAAAAAAAAATAGTGTTCAAACGTAATAAAACTAGAGGCTCGGTGCATGGATTCATGCACAGGTGGGATTCCTCAGCCTGGCTTGCAGGGATCAGACTGAAAATGGCTCTCTGACATCCCTCGAGGGGTCCCAGATTGTGAGGGGGTGGTTCTTGGGTGACGCACCCCAGAATCCGGCTACTTCCTTTCTGGGTGCATCACCCAAGAACCGCAGCTGCCAAGTCACTGCAGCTCCACAGCTGCTGCATTGAGTGTTTGTCCCCTTTGGTCATTAGGTGTCATAGCTACCAGCCAGTTGGCCAGTCTGCAGTTCCCTTAGGTTTTTATGTATACAGATTATTCAATATAACGTGCTAATCAGATTGCCTCTCCATTTGACTTCAGAGAGTCCATCATAATCTAATATTGATCTGAGTTATGTTGCCAGTAAATCAGTCAAATAAAATATTATAATAGCATAAAGCTTTCCACAGTGATGTTCATGAATACACTGCTGATAACAGAAAAACTAGAAACAAACTAAATTACAAAGATTGATTGAATAAACTATGATATATCTGACAATGGAATATTATACAACACTAAAGCTGATGTGAAAACAGATTTAACGTGGAATGCAATAGTATGGTTCTACTTCTGTGGGGAAAAGTGTGTGTGCTTACACATGCACAGAGAAAAATGAGTACACACCGAATTGTAAACCGTGATTATCTCTGGGTGGTACTATGGAGTCTTTTAGTTAGCTCTTTTTACTTATCTATAGTATTCTCATCTTTCCCAATTAACGTGTACTACCTGTATATTCAAAATAACTGGTTTGACTTTGAGATACATTATATATTTGAAAATGTATTGTTTGAAAGATCTGGGCTCCCATGCCATTTCAACAGAAATTATTTGAAGTTTGTCTTCATTTACTTCTAGGTCTCTGTTGTCAAATTGCTAAAGACAAATGGTAAAGCTAAAAGGCAAGAAAAGCAACTGTCCTGGATACAGAATTAGATACGTTTGGATTAAATAACCAAGAAAGAAAAACAGTGTTCAGCCTCTCAACCATTTGTTTGCTTCCCATTTTTAAAAGCATGCTGATCCCATTTTCAAAGAATTGCTTACAGTCATTTTGTAACTTCAAGGTCCCAGCAACTGGCTTTAAGAACACAGTAAAAAGAGGGCTCATCTTACAGTCAGTTTCCAATGATGTCTACCAAAACCTGGCTGTGGAAGACTGGATCCATGACCACGTGAACCTAGAAAGCAAGCCGGTTCTGTTCTTTTGGAGAAATTCTCCCTCTGTTGTAATCGGTAGGCATCAAAACCCTTGGCAGGAATGTAACCTGACTCTGATGAGAGAAAAAGGTGTCAAACTGGCTCGGAGAAAAAGTGGAGGAGGCACAGTTTACCACGACCTGGGCAATATCAACTTGACTTTTTTTACAACCAGAAAAATGTATAATCGGATGGAAAACCTGAAGTTAGTTGTGAGAGCTCTGAATGCTGTCCAACCCCAGCTGGATGTGCAGCCTACCAAAAGGTTTGACCTTTTACTTGATGGACAGTTTAAAATCTCTGGAACAGCTTCTAAGATTGGCCGGACTACTGCTTATCACCACTGCACTTTGTTATATCGTACTGATGCGACGCTCTTGTCCTCTTTGCTCAATAGCCCTTACCAAGGGATCAGGAGCCATGCAACGGCTAGCATACCTGCCTTAGTGAAAGGTCTGGTGGAAAAAGACCCCACTCTGACCTGTGAAATCCTGACAGACGCTATTGCGGCAGAGTACGCTGCTTGTCATCACATTGAGAATCACATCAACTTGATAAACCCAACAGATGAGACACAGTTTCCTGGAGTAAATAGCAAAGCCCAAGAACTGCAAACCTGGGAATGGATCTATGGCAAAACTCCGAAGTTCAGTATACAAACTTCCTTCAATGTGTTACATGAACAGTCCCTCTTGGAAATTAAAGTTCTCATAGATGTGAAGAATGGGAGAATTGAAACCTGTAACATTGAAGCACCTGATCATTGGTTGCCACGGGAAATATGTGACAAATTAAACTCAACTTTCATTGGCAGTAAGTTCTGCCCTATTGAAACTACTATGCTAACAAATATGTCACGTGGGACAAGTCCGGAAGACGATGAAGTACACAGTAAATGGAATATTGTCTGTGAAAAAATTAAGGGAATAATGTGACTGCAAGTAAAGTTAATATTGGCAGGTTCAGTGAGTAAATAAAAATTTTCGATGTGCATTGTAAGTCTCTTAAAATTAAAAGGGTCTAGTTTCTTTGACTAACTTCTCCCCATTTGTGTCTATCTCCTATCCACGTCCGTATTTTCTACTGACCTCCGGGATCCTCTGTCTCTTTCCTCGCTGATTTTAATACCTGGCATGCATTTGTATTTTAGCTCCTGCCTCTTTCACCACCTTGGGAATGTTTACCATATCAGACACTATGATTTTCATTCTTTTTTTTTTTTTTTAAATATATTTTATTGATTTTTTCAGAGAGGAAGGGAGAGAGATAGAGAGCTAGAAACGTCGATGAGAGAGAAACATCAACCAGCTGCCTCCTGCACACCCCCTACCGGGGATGTGCCCGCAACCAACGTACATGCCCTTGACCGGAATCGAACCTGGGACCTTTCAGTCCGCAGACTGACGCTCTACCACTGAGCCAAACCGGTTTTGGCTGATTTTCATTCTTTATAAGATATTTCTTACTTCTGGGCAATACAGCCCAGGCTTCTTGCCACCTATGATACCTTAAACTCTAAAATTGTCCCTTTTAGTTATATCTTCTTATCCTTCCATCCTGTCCCATTAAATCAAGGTGGTTTTAAATCTCAACAATTGATTTTTTTTCCTTTTACTCCTATGTCGAAATGGCAGACAGTATGGGAAAAAATTTACATTATCATTCAGATTAACTCAATTCATATTTAGTTTTCTATTTGTGTTTCTTTTTTCTGTGTCATATTCAACTTATCTTTTGATTCCTTATCATTTTTCAGAGGCATTATTCCTAAATGTTTTCACTTTTTGGCTCAGAATTCCACTATTCTTTTTTAAAAAATATATATTTTATTGATTTTTTTAGATAGGAAGGGAGAAGGATAGAGAGCTAGAAACATCAACGAGAGAGAAACATCGATCGGCTGCCTCCTACACACCCCCCAACTCTGGATGTGCCCACAACCAAGGCATATGCCCTTGACTGGAATCAAACCCGGGACCCCTCAGGCCCCAGGCCAACACTCTATCCACTGAGCCAAACCAGTCAGGGCTCCACTATTAATCTTGTTACAAACCTTGACTCATGATGTGATAGCAGAGGTCTTCAGAAATGAGTGCCTTTAGTCCCCCATGTTGTCTATTTTAACATTTCTCATTTCATCCAATCTCAGAGAAATACTTCCTTTTCCTTAAAACTAACCCCTCTAATTGTACCATAGTTTTTGTCCTCTCCAGCCTATTTGAGCCTTGTCTTATCATAATATTTATCTTCTCTCTTTTTTTGTTCTTTGTATTTTCTCTCAACTTTCACTGGATCCTTACCCATAGTGAATGAACGAAACTCTCCTGCTCTATTCATTGCCAAACTTCTAGAAAGAGTAACATCACCCCCCTGGCCAGGTAGCAGTTGGTTAGAGGGCTGTCCCTATAGGCCAAGTTTGTCGGTTTGATCCCCGGCCAGGGAACATATAAGAATCGACCAATGAATGCATAAATAAGTGAGAACTGGGCCTGCATGAAGAACCAAGCCCTGTATAAGCCAGACCCCAACAGTTCAGCCAGCCACATTCCTCACTGGTGTGTGCTTCCTTGATGCATCATGCTCCCTCCCTCTCTCTTTCCCTCCACCTTGTTTTCAAAAAACCTCGTCTTTGGAATGTTTCACCTCCTCTCATAATTTCTATCTTGGGAGAAGAGGGGATGGCAAGAACCCATTTACCAGTGACACATAATAAAGTTGGGCAAAACTAATTTGAGTATTTTCAGGTTCATTATCAGCACAACAGCAAAGAAAAACATCAGGAACTTTTCTGGAATCCCTTCTTGTTCTTTTATGCCAACTCAATCCTGTACCTGCTGGCTCACAAAGGTAAAACAAACCTGGTGTCTAAAGAGGTCTGGGACTACTATGCTCAACCTTAGAACCATGGCTCCTTCCCCTGGCTTTGGTCATCCACACTATTTAATTTTGAATTTAATCTTCAGTTTTCTCCTGATGTGATGTTCATATGAGCACTCTTTAGCACCAATGCTACTATTTCTCTTTGTAGACTCTGGGTTAACTTAGTCTTTACTAGTAAGTTTCTTGATTGCCCATTTACCTGTATCTTCTCTCCCAGTCTAACTCCATATAATCTAATTTTTTTTTTAAGAGGATGCTATTTAAAAAATATATATTTTTATTGATTTCAGAGAGGAAAGGGAAAAAAAAAAAAAAAACATGAATGATGAGAATCATTGAACAGCTGCCTCCTGCATGCCCCCCACTGGGGATAGAGCCTGCAAGCTGGGCATCTGCCCTTGACCAGAATCAAAGCCAGGACCCTCTGTCCACAGGCCGATCTTCTATCCACTGAGCCAAACCAGCCAGGGCCAAACAACATAGTTTTTGTTTCTAACCAGTCAATTGGCATCTTGATGGGTGAGCTTACCCAGAACAATTGATTCTAAACCTTTATAAATGTGCCAGCCAGAGTTGAATGAGCTGCAAAATGTATCTGAATAACTAAATAGGTTGAGTTGCCTTTATCGAGTTAGGTAATGGTAGATAAGTACATTCTGCCAAAGACATTTGATTTTTAACAAAATTAACATTGCGCTTTTTTCCTGGATATTAAACCCACAAGCCCATCTGTCTCTTAAGAGTCCTCTTATCCATATTTTTCCTCCTTTACTCTAAATTCCCAGGGGCAATATAACATCTAACTCATCTTTACAACAGGTACTCATTATTTGTTGATTCACTCTCTAACACCCAAGTAATAGAAAAGCTGGTAAAATGTTTAAATTAACTGTAAATCTAAGTAATGTATTTACGAAGATATTTAAGATTGGTCACAACTGAACAACGAACCCATAAATTAGTAGGAATGTACAAGTTTATTATTCACATTTTATAGGAGTAATCTGTCCCAAGTATAAAAACATCTAATATTCACTTGAAATAGAAATATACAATGTAAATTAAGCTAGTGTCCATCATATTTTTTGTGTGTGCCTGTTATGAAAAATGTCCACTGTTGTTTCATGACACGGTCTTAAATCCAAATCACAATATCCAAGGGAAAAACGACCCTAAGAAGAGAAGAGAATAATTTTTTAACAAAGAGCCAAAGCCATGCTAAAATTATACAGAAAGAGTGCTACCCACTCATAAGGCTATATCCTACCTGTGGTCTCTTAAAATAATCCAGTCCCCTTCCAATCTTAATCATCCATCCATTGTTGAACCTATTGAAATAAGCATGTAGTATTATATTCCAGACAGTTATGCCAGACCATTAGCAAAGCCGTAGGGTATGAAGTGTCAGCAAATCGCCCCCTAAAAGAAAACCACTTCCTCCAGTAGCATGAGTTGAGCCAAACCTGGGGTAACTCATGGGCTGTGTCTACGATGAAACAGAACATTCAGAGAAACCATGGGTTGATGTGATTAAGTGATAAGAATTTAACAATTACATTAAAACTTACTCTTGAGCCCTGGCCGGGTGGCTCAGTTGGAGCATCATCCCATACACCAAAAGGTTATGGGTTCCACTTCTGGTCAGGGCCCGTACCTAGGTTTCAGTGAGATCCCTGGTCGGGCATGTGAAAGATGCAAATGATTGATATTTCTCTCTCATGTCAATGTTTCTTTTTCTCTCCCCCTTCCTCTCTAAAATCAATAAACATATCCTTGGGTGAAGATAAAAAACTTACTACTGAATTTCAGCTTGCTGCTGATAAAACTTTCCTGATCTGCCAACACATGGTTTCAAAGTATACTCAGGCAGACTGTGATGGTGGTTCAGGGGTTTTCCTACCTGGTGATGGGGGACATAAGCAGGAAGAGCTGTGGATCCTGACCTCTGTCTGCTTCAACCATAGCAGCTGCATTGTCATAGGTTTTGCATTTAGGCTTAAGTTTTTTCTAAGATTGGAGGTGCCATTGCTATTTATCCTATCTAATATAAAAGGGAATATAATTGACCAGCAAGCCCTCAAAAAGATGGCGGCACTCACAGCCAATAAGGAGAAAATATGCTAATTGAGTGCCATGCCCTCAAAGATGGCGGCGCCTACAGCCAAAAGATGGCGGTCCCAGTCTCCTCAGCCCTGCAGGAGCAGCAGGTGTGTGGCACGGACAGGCCCACCCCCGGCAGGTCCAGCTGCTCCACGCACCTGCCTAAGTCCCCCAGTCCCCTCATTCCCCTAGCTGCCCAGGGCCAGCCTGAGGTACAGGCAAACCTTGAATGGCAGCTGTGCAGCTGCCCAGGGCTGACCCAAGTGGCAGCAGCAGAGGTATGATGGGGGTGTCGCCTCCTGCCACTGAGGGCAGGGACTGGGAGAGGGGGCAGCCAGACTGAGGAACCCCCCCACCTCCAGTGCATGAATTTTCATGCAACAGGCCTCTAGTATATATAAAAGCCCAGTGATCAGAATGGCAGAACAACCAGAATAACTGGTGGCTGTGACATGCACTGTGACTTAAGAGTCTTCTTATCCATATAACCAGCCTGATCCAGGCCCTAGTCAGGCCCTAGTCAGGCCCCTCTCCCCAGCCTGGTCCCCGATCAGCCCCCAACACGCCAATGAATTCATGCACTGGCCATCTAGTCAACATATGAAAGGCACTGTGCTAAACAAAGGGAACATACCACTAAAAAAAAAAAAACTGCATATACCGTTTCTTTATGGACACAGTATACTGTTGTGCCTACTAGAATATTTTATAAAGCTTAAGAAGACACATTAAGTAATTATCAGTATCACAAAAGGAAATAAATTCTCTCAATACCATAATACAATATATAAAACTGAATAGACAAAAAAGTATTTCTCTTCTTACATGACATAGAACATGTACATTTTATTCCATCAGGAAATATGAAACACATACAGGACAAAATAAGCCAGATTTTTTTTCTTTAAAAGTGAAAAGATACTAGAACTGAGCTTTATTTTAAAAATTCAATATTTAAATGGAATATTTATATGCAGTTATATAAAACTTAACAGAAGTAAAAATAAGTATTTTTCAACTGCATAGAAGTTAAAATATTACTATATACTAACCTAATTTCTCGGTCATGTATGGAAGAAGAATATTCTAATTCCAACAGCACTCCATGATTCCTCAGTGATGCTTTTATTTCTTCCAGGCCACTAATTTGTTGCCCTCTCCCACCGCCCTTTTAATAGGAAAAAATAGCATTTTACAATTCAGTTATTAATATTTTATATTATCCCTTAGCTATGCAAAGTGTATCACAGGTGATTAAAATGGAAAGATTAAAAAATAAAACAAAATGGAAAAATTCTACACTAGAGTCAATGTCTATTAATCTCAAAGAAGCCAGCAAGGAATAAGAAATAGTTTATGAGCAATTGTTTTTATCAAAAGAATTTTTTTTTTTCTTCTGCTGAAACTGGTTTGGCTCAGTGGTAGAGCGTCGGTCTGCAGACTGAAAGGTCCCAGGTTCGATTTCGGTCAAGGGCATGTACCTTGGTTTCGGGCACATCCCCAGTAGGGGGTGTGCAAGAGGCAGCTGGTCCATGTTTCTCTCTCATCGACATTTCTAGCTCTCTATCTCTCTCCCTTTCTCTCTGTAAAAAATCAATAAAATATACTTAAAAAAAAAAAAAGAATTTTTTTTTTCTAATGTGGATATAACTCTGTCCTGTCTCCTAAAATATACTTATAGTAATGCTGTTTAATTACTCAGATGGGACTGGCTGTTTGCAAATTAATCCTAGAAAACTGAATTATTTAGAAGCATTCCTATGTAAGTCAAAATGAAAAGATGCCCACTACCATGCTATTATTCCCCAGAATGCCAATGTAATCAATCAAGAAAAAGATAAATGTGACAACTGGTAGGGAAAAAAACACACAAAATTGTCAACAGTTTAGACAGTGTGATTGTCTCTTAGAACTTTCAAACTATTTGAATCAAGTTTGGCAAACTGGCCAACAGCAAGGTACAAGACACTAAAATCAACAGCATTTTCTCAAGGTGTGTTATGCCCATTGTTAGAAAATAAGTTCACCCCAAGGAAATACCTCTAGTTGAATCATTATGTCCAGGTTTTTCTTGCTTGAAATGAATCTTGTAACGGAATAACATGAAGTTAAGAAACAGTAAATGCCTTCAGATACCTACTTCATCCAGGGAGGTCAAAAGATGAATCGTTTGTACTTTACATGGCTTCTTGATAAGCATCTCACAAAACCGAAGAAAGTTATACAGCTGAAAGACATTAGGATAGGTTAATACTAACTTGCACATCCTATCTAATAAAACAGAAACATGCAAATTGACTGTAAACCTGCTACACCCACAAGCCAATCAGGAATGGGTATGCAAATTAACCCAACCAAGAATGCAGTGGCCATGGAGCTGGAGCCAGTGGGAAGTTTGGGTTGTCCCCGGAGACGGAGGAAGACAAACTTCCCCACTGCCCTGGTCTCCGCTCAAGGCTACAAAGTTTCAAATATAGAAGATAAATAAATCCCAGATACCTGCTTCCAGCCTATGCTTGGGTCACTGGGGGGCATGGCCGGCCTGCAAACCAAAGATCCTGCCCCCATGTGGACAAAAAATGGCCACCACAAGATGGCTAGCAGGAGCAGGCAGTTTGGAGGGACCCAGGCCTGCAGGGAAGGGCAGTTGGAGGCAATTGGGCTAGCAGGGGAGCAGTTAGGCATCAGTTAAGATGGCAGTGAAGTGGTTAGGAGGTGATCAGGCTGGCAGGCAGAAGTGGTTAGGGACAATCAGGAAGGCAGGCAGGCGAGCAGTTGGGAGCCAACAGTCCTGGATTGTAAGAGGGATGTCTGACTTCTCTCAAGTGGTCCCGGATGGGAGAGGGTACATGCTGGGCTAAGGAACACACCACCCATGAATGAATTTCGTCCACCCAGCCTCTAGTTTTAAATAACATTTCATCACATGTTTGTGTTATACTTACCTGATGATTAGTTCTTATATAAGGATCTTCTATCCAAACTTCTCTCACTGTCTCATTAAGGTATTCTTGAAAAACCGATTCATAACTGAATCCTGTTGCATTCTCCTCTATTTTAATTTGCTTGTGATACTTTCCATCTACAAAACATAAGCTTTACTAAAAAAAAAAAAAAAACTAGCAACAATTTACTTTTATACTTATTACATTTATATATAGTGATTCATCAGGAGCAGATACAAATTAATTTTTTTAACTCCTCCACTCAGTAAACATTTTTTAATCCCTGGTGTATAACAGGCATGTGGCAGGATGCTACACATACAGAGGTAAATAAGGCAAAGCATTCCACAAGTGACTTCTGCCTTTACAGAGGCCAGGCAAGTGGGAAGGTCCAGAGATTTCTTGGAACAGGTTTTTGAGCTGATTCCTAGGAACCGGCATTTTATTCAAAAAGAGAACTATATGCATAAAGATATCTGATATTCTTGTCACTATAAGTAGAACTGCAGTAGCTATCTGGTCCTTCTCTTTAGATTTAGGTCTTTTAAAAAAATGTATATATATATATATTTTTTTTTATATTGCTTTTTTTTTTTCATCGAGGAAGAGGGATAGAGAGAAATATCAATGAGAGAGAAACATCAATCAGCTGCACCTGCACATTCCTTACTAGGGATGTGCCCGTAACCAAGGTACATGCCCTTGACCGGAATTGAACCTGGTACCCTTCAGTCCACAGGCTGATGCTCTAACCACTGAGCAAAACCGGTCAGGGCTAGATTTAAGTCTTTTATGTCCTGCAACTTAATAGCTAAAGTGAGTTTAAATACATAAATGCCATATAATGTGAAGTTCAGAAGTCTTTATTAGAACTTGTATGGGAGTGTTTTAAACAGAAACTGGTAGTACTTCTCAATAACCCAAGCCAAAGACTAGGGTGCCAGAGGATCAGTAGGACTCACTAAAATTGAATAATTATTGAATAACTTATCAAAGATCTTTAAGATTTATATGTTTGGAAACTAGAATGCTCATGAGGAGAGAACTAACAATAAATAGGGAACAATACTATGCATCTCTAATTGAAATGTTCTGATTCACAACAAAACCCCAAAGACATCCCAGGAATTTCCTTAGATAGTTTAGTATTTTAGTCATATTATAAAGAGAAATACGAATTAAATACAGGATTCATATTTAGTATTCCTCTGTAGTGTTAACTTAAACTGCGTCCACACATAAGCTTAATGGGGATCTGTGAATTCCTTAAAACAGCAGGCAAAGGTCTGCAGTCTTTATAGCTCTCATCAGATTCTCAAGAGGGTGTCTGACTACTACCCCACCCTCCGCTCGGCCCCCAAAAAGGTTAAGAATAGCTTCTGTACAGGGGAGCAGAAATGCAGAGTAAACGGGTTCACTCCACCAAGCTCCGAAGGCAGGGCCAGAAACACAGGGTGAAATGGGTTTAGGGGGGAGTGGTCAATCGGGGGAAAAGAAGACATATGTATTACTTAAATCAATTAAAAAAAAATGGGCTTTGGCAATAGTGTATGAACACATTCTCTAACACAGCCACTTTACCTTCTTTCTCTTGGTCCAAGTATTTCTTTATGTTTTCTGCTCTATCCATGTAGTCAGAAATTTTTTTTCTGAGATTGCATTTCTTTGTATCATCTTTGGTGCCTACAAATTAGACAGATAGAGTCCCAAGTTTCAAAACAGCTTTTCTATGTAGGATAGGCATTATTTTCCAGCTTCCCAAGTCCCCCGCACATTTCCTGTCCCATAGCAAGGTTTGCCTCGGTCCTGCGGAGATCAGGCTGAAATTGGCAGTCCGACATCCCCCAATGTGTCCTGGATTGCAAGAGGGCACAGGCCAGGCCAAGGGACCCCGCCAGTGCACAAATCCGTGCACTGGGCCTCTAATAACATAAACAGGCTAAAAGGCAAGGGGATATTGGGGGGCGGGGGCCAGACTGGGAGCTCCAGGGTGAGGGAAGCAAGGGGTGATCTTAATCAATTCAAAACAATGACTGGGTCTCTACTATGTACCAGAGATTGTGCTGGTGTTAGGGTTATTTGGTTACTTCACAACACTGTACCCAAACTTTGTAACAGTCTTACTGTCTACAGCCACAATCTAGCATTCCTTACACCAAATATCAGTAAATTTAATTCTTACAGGGAAAAAAAAAAGTTTTCTTCTACCACCTTGTGCTTTTATTTTTGTTTACTTTTAATGAAACTCTTATACAGAAAAGCAAGAGTACCCGTGCGAGGAACATCCTTATTCCCCAGCACCTAGATTTAAACATTGTCAGCGTTTTTGCCACATTTGTTTCAGTATTTCTTCCCGAAATACTTTGGTCTGCCTCTCCAAAAATTAAAAAAGGTTTTTTTTTGTTTGTTTGTTTTTTAAGTTTTCTAAAAAAACCTTACTGCCTAGCAACGATAACAATTTTAATGTTGCCAAATCCGTAGTCTAACCTCCCAAGATGATCTAAAAAGGTCTTCTACAGCTCGTTCAAACACAAGTCCTATAAGGCATATGAATTCTATTTTGTTATGTCTCTTAACCTTCTATAGTAGTTACCCTCCCCACCCCCTTTTTCTTGCTGACATCCATCTATTGTATTAAATATGTAAAAGAAACCAGACCTTTTGACCAGTAAAAGGTGCCACCTTCTGTATCTGGCTGCTTCCTCGGGGTGCCCAAGACATCATGAACTTGTACCCCTCTGTCCAACACAGCGGGAGGCTGCTCCTTTCTTGGTCTCTCCCTTCCCTGCTCCCCACCTCAGCCCCACCCCTGTCCCCAGGGCTCCCTGCTCACCTTTGAGAACCTGCAGCAGCAGGTCGATCCCCTCCTGGTAACACACCAGAGCCTGCTGGTACCTGGACTCGGCGTCCAGCTCCACCGCCCGTTTCAGCACCGCGGCTGCGGCGACGCCCCCGGGGTCCGGCCCCAACCCGGGTTTGGCCATGACCCTGGGAACTCCCCTCCGCCTCTAACCCAGACCCAGCGCGCCGGGTCCGCGGCGCTTCCGGGAAGCGATCACGTGACACCGACACGTGACCGCTCCCGCTCCCGCTCCCGCTCCCGGGGCCCTGGAGTGGCAGGGAGTCGGCCGGAACCTGGGAAGGGCAGCGTTCTGCCCGGGCTGTGACGGCCGAGTTTAAAGGTGGCACTCGCTGGTGTCTCCGGTCCAGCTTCCTGCCGGCGGGCCGGTTCAGGCTGCGCACCCTTCAGCACCCAGAGGTGAGTGAGTGGGGCGTGCGTGGCCCCGAGTATTGCGGGTTTCCCTGGAGTGCCTGTCTGGATGCGGGTTGAGTTCCCCCATTTGTGTTTGCGGGTCGCACTGGCCGGACCTTGTCCCTCGGGCTTCCGGAAAGCCAGCAAAAATGGGTGATTTCAGCTAGAGACTGTGAATGCTGTATTGTATTGATTGAGGTCCAAAGTCATGCATCTTATCTTTCTGCTTTCACTATATATATATCAGTATAGTGAGCTATAATTGTTATGTGTCTAAATAAACATGACTATTTTATTTCAGTCATAGAAGCAATGTGTATTTTTTAAAAAATAGTTTATAAAAGCACAACTAGACAGAAAAGAGAGTTCCGCTTTGCCTTTTAACATAAAGATGTTATGATTTAGTGAAAATGCATCGGACTGGGTACTAATGGAACTGAGTTCTAGATCGTATACTTCCTGGATAGCTGAGCACCCTTGGGTGAACTCTCTGGAATTCATTTTCCTCCTATTTAACATAAGAGGGTTGTCAATTCTAAAGATAGGATTTGAGATTTCTTCTGTCCCTTCAGCTCTTTAACTTTTTGTGATTCTGTGACAAAGCGTTCTTTATGTGCCCTTATTGTTGGACAAGATTTTTTAAATGATGGGCGTTATAGCCCCCATTGCTTTAATTTTGTTGAATCCTCTGAGGCTCTAATTCATTTGGTGAAAATGGGATGTGGGTCATGTCTAATTACTACCTATGGTTTTGCTGAACTCCAAATAAAACATTTACTATAACTTAATCCTTGCCTTTATTATACTAAAATAACCAAGGTTTTATTCTTAAACTTTAGTCAAGTTCACAATTAACTTGTTTCATTTTTGTAGGCAGAGGGGGGATGTTATCAAGACATATTTGACCCCAAGATCTGTTTTCTGCCTGTACAGCCTCCTCTGCAGACAGCCATTCACCACACTCATGGCTGGGATTTTGCGCTCAGTAGTTCAGAGGCCTCCGGGCAGACTACCCGTAAGTTTTCATTTTCAAGAGTTATCTTTCTGTAAAATGTGTATGTTTCTTTTCTATTGTAATTAACAAAATATATGAGCAAGTTAAACTTAACTATTTTTATATATTCATATTTTAAGGTTGAGGGTTAGTATGGTTTTTATATGATTTATCTGCTGTTAAGTCCTTAAAACATTTAGAATCTACAAAAGGTCTATAATTTTAGGGTTGTTTTTCTTTTTTTTCCCTTCAATTATGAAGAGAGTACATTTTCAATCTTAGGAAATTAGAAAAAAAAAAAATAGAAAAGCAGAAAGAAGAAAAAACAGTATTCCGGAGACCATTCATGTTTGTATTGTCATGTATTTCCTTCCAGTCTTTCTTTTAGAAACTGCGGTGGTGCAGCTTAACCTGTTCATGGGGGCCAGAGTCTAAATCAGGGTTGGGGAACACCCTGCCAAGGGCCGAGGAAGGCCTGTGAAATCGTTTGGTCTGGCCCCAGCCAGTCTGGCTCAGAGGATAGCATACCTTCTCTCATTGTTTGTGCCATCACTGCAGTACAGGGAGGGCATGATTATAACACATCCAGAGAGCAGTTTCCTGGATTGAAGGATGGGCACTGAGCCTTTTCTCTTTTGCAGGCTGAGAGAAACAGGACTTGGGGGGAGGCGGGGGGGTGTTATAGGAAGGGAACAAGGGTTAGGAACTAGGGGTGATGGAATTGTTGGGACTAGAAAGAAAAGTAGAAACACATTTTGACTTTTACATTGTATTGTTGAAGGTGAATAATTGCACATTGTCTAGAGCAGGGGTTGGCAAACTGCAGCCTGCAGGCCAAATCCACCTATTTTTGTAAATAAAGTTTTATTGGAACACAGCCTCCTCCATTTGTATATTGTTTAGGCTATTTTTGCCCTACAGTGGCAGAATTGAGTCTTGACAATGGAAACCATATAGCTCCAACCTGGAAAAATTCACTATCTGGTCCTTTACAGAAAAATATTGCCAGCCCTAGTCTAGAAGTCTATATATAATTAATGTGGTTTTTTAAAATTTATTTTGTAATATGTTAGTAAGATTCATGTAGGGGGCTGAAATTAATGCTTAAAATTACAGGTTAGGCCCTAGCTGACCTAGTTTTGACTCAGTGGATAGAACATTGGCCTGTGGACTGAAGTGTCTCGGGTTCAATTACAGTCAAGGGCACATACCTTGGTTGCAGGCTCCTACCTGGCTTTGGCCCTGGTTGGGGCGTGTGCAGGAGGCAATCAATCGATTTGTTTCTTTCACACCAATATTTCTCTCTGTCTTGCCCTGTCTCTTCCACTCTCTCTAAAAATCAATAGAAAAATATCCTCGGGTGAGGATTAAAATAAATAAATAAATAAATAAATAAATAAATAAATAAGTAAGTAAAATAAAAACATTAAAAAAAGTAAATAAATAAAATTAAAGGTTAGGTAAAAACAGACTTTTATCACCCAAAAAATTGATACGGGTTTCTGCACTATCAGAGTTCTAAAAAGCTAATGTTTTATATTTTAGACCGTGACAAAAGGTGTGGAGTCTCTCGTTTGTACGGATTGGATTCGTCATAAATTTACCAAGTCAAGAATTCCAGATAGTGTAAGAACAAGAATTTATTTTTGTTTTAATGTTTTTTAAACATTATTTTTCTTTTAAAAGTTTCCTGTTTTTTTGTAATGTTGAAAACTTTTATATTAAATCATTTGTGGATGTACATAGTAGTGCAGAGTTTAGAACAGAGAAGGATTTATATAAATGATTATTAAAAATAAACATGTGCCTCTTGCCTTCCAAGTAATGGGTTTTCATGATCTCAGAATCTGTTTATTACTGTGTGTGTTTTTCCCCTTAATATTTGTTATTTGCATATCACCATTGTCCAGAGAAAACAGTCTCCTTGCTCCTGCTTCCAAGCTCTGTCTTTGTGGCTCTTCTCATTCCTTTCTCTGTTGACTGTTGCCACTTTGGATCTTCCAGTTTTCTCTGCTAAGTTTATGTATACATGCCGGAGACCCGATGCACAAAATTCATGCAAGAGTCGGCCTTCCTTCCCCCAGCTGCTGACATCAGCTTCCCTCCGTCCACTGGCAGGTACCCGGGACCTGTGCTTCCCTCACAGCCTGGCTTCATCCGGAAGGACCCCCAGAAGGACATCCTGTCTAATTAGCATATTGTGCTTTTATTACAGATATTTTTTTAAAAACAAACAAACAAAAAAACAACAACAACCTGACTAAGCCTGTGAATAGACTTATTTCCTAGAGAAGTTTTAAGTTTATAGAGAAATTGAACAGAAAGTACAGAGTTTCACATAATCCGTCTCCCAACTTTCTTACGTTGGTAGACATTTATTAGATTGACAAATCAATATTGGCTCATTATTATTAACAAATTTCAAACCTACTGCAGGGTTCAGTCTTTGTATTGTACACTCTGTGGGTTTTGACAAATACATAATGTCCTGTACCCACCATTAAAGTGTCATGCTGAATAGTTTCAGTGCCCTAAGAATTGTGTGTGCTTCACCTATTTATCCCACCCTCTCATCCCACAACTCCTGGTAACCATTGATTATTTTACTGCCTATAGTGTTGCCATTTCCAGAATGTCATGTAATTGGCATGATACAATATGTAACCCTTCCAGACTGGCTTCATTCACTTAGTAATAAGAGATTAAGGTGCCTGCCCTGGCTGGTGTTTCTCAATGGTTAGAGCATTGGCCTATGCGCCAGAGGGTCACAGGTTTAATTCCTGATCAAGGCCATGTACCTTGGCTGCAGTTCGATCCCTGCTCCCAGAGTGGTCAGGGTGTGTCTGGGTCTCTCTCACATCAATGTTTCTGTCTCTCTTGCCTTCTACTCTTACTAGAAATCAATGCAAAAACATTTCGAGGAAAGGATCTAAATGTTAAGTTGAAAATTGATTTTAATCCTTGGGTGAGGATTAAAAAAGAAGTTAAGGTGCCTTGATGTCTTGACATGACTTGTTAGTTCATTTCTTTTCCTTTTTTGTTTTTGTTTTTTTAGTTAACTATATATTTAAACCAAGGAATGATACATTACAAATTAACTAGAAAATTCCTGGTTAGAACTCAGGAAACATGCATTTGCAAATACCAAGTTGTTTTCCAATAAAGTATCTGGGGACTCAGAAATCAAAAAAAAGGAAGTATTGAAAGCTCATTTTTATAACCTGAGTTTTGTGTCTGTGCAGCTCACCTTAGTTTATGGGTAGATAATATGCCATTGTCTGATGCTTAGCTACAGGTACAAGCTGCACCACCACACAAGGAACTGTATTAAAGGGACTCAGCATTAGAAGGGTTGGGAACCACTGTCTTAGAGGATGAAATCTTAGATTCTATGAGTAATCAGACTTGTAGAAATGATCAATTTGAGGTTGAGAATTACAGAAAGATTAGAGATGAGACCATTATGTTATAATTTGTTTTTTGTTGTTGTTAGTTTGTTTTGGGGCGGGGGAAGGGGGGATATATAAATTATATAAGTTAAAAGTTTACCATTTATGATTCTTTCTTTCTAGGTGTTTCAGCCTACACCAGAAGATCATGAAAAATACGGTGGGGATCCACAGCACCCTCATAAACTACATATAGTTACCAGAATAAAAAGTATAAAAGGCCGTCCATATTGGGAAAAAGATGTAATAAAGATGCTTGGAATAGAAAAGGTATGCAAGTATTTCAGTCATCTTCAACATGGTTTAAATTTGCTTTAAATTTGGCACTTTTTACACTTTAAAGAATATATTTAATACTTTTTGTTTAAGTGTGTTATTTAGTGGAATGTATTTGAAAGTTTGAGTTAGACAGAATGAGCACTCATTCATTTTACTGAAGCATGGGACCGTCTGGGTTTTGGGAATTGATCTCTAATACTATTTTCCCTTTCTTTGTAGGCACACACTCCCCAAGTTCACAAGAACATCCCTTCGGTGAACGCAAAACTGAAAGTGGTTAAACATTTGATAAGAATCAAGCCCCTGAAGTTGCCACAAGGACTCCCCTCCGAGGAGGACATGGCTCACACCTGCCTCAAGAGCAACGGCGAGTTAGTGGTCCGGTGGCAGCTGAAACCCGTGGACCAGAAAGCCATTAAGTCCTAAGGCCAGAGCTGTTCCAGATTAAAAAGTGTAAATCAATTTTATTTAAAGATGTTAGAAAGTGTTCTTATTAAAATATATGTTAAATGCTAGTCCTTTTTACTGACTAAAGTTGGTGTGATTTTTTTTTTTTCTGACTATAGGCTTGGAGATGTTAGTGCTATTGTTTGGTTTAGTTTTACCCCCTTTGTCCCTAATAGTTTCACTGCAAATAGGTAAGAATGGCATTGTTTGAACATTTAGGTTCAGATGTCTCCTTAACAATCATCATTAATTTAAAAAAAAAAAAATCGTTTCCTTGTTTAACTGAATTCAGCGACTTCTGTGAATGGCCTTGTGAGTGAGCGTTGTGTTGTGTGCTGGTGAAGGTCTTCCATTATATTAAGAATGCCTTGATGAGGGAAAGCAAGGGCAGGTGGGAAGAGATTAACTGAAGAATGTATATGCATATATGCATCTCCCCTGGACATGGTGGTGTGGCAAAAGCGTGGGGCAGGGGGTGGGTTCGGGTTGGAAGGGGTCAATGGGGAGAAAAAGGGGACATCTGCAATACTTTCAACAATAAAGATTTAAAATTTTTTAAAAAAGAATAGCTTGATGGACACTAGGTGTAAAAATTTCACTGATTGACGGTCCCAGTAAAACCCCAGTCCTTGAATCTAATCTAGTACCTATAATGAGGTTATCAAACTCAAACTGTATTTTTTCCCTACCTTCTAATTTTTCTCACAAGAACTTATTTCCAAATCTCAAAGTAAATGAGAAAGTTTTTGAGTACATGAAACACAGAATTTATTTTGTATTATTGATTCATTATTGTATTGTTCTCCATATGAAAAACTGTAAATCTGTTTTTGCCAACCCCTGTAGATACCAACATTGATCCACAGAACATTTCTGTTACTACATCACTCTTTCACCACTATCCTATATAATAAAAGGCTAATATGCAAATTGTCCCCTCAACTGGGAGTTCAACCAGGAGTTCAATCACCGGACTGGGCCATCTATTCAAATGCCCGTGGCCCTTTCCCCAGCTAGCCCTACCCCTGGTTGGTCCCCCCACCCCAATTGGGGGCAGGGCTAGCTGGCCAACTGCCTGAAGCCCCTCCTCCTGGCTGGTTCAGCCTGATTGGCTCTAATTGGGGCGGGATGGCCAGACCCCACGCGTGCACATAACAGTAACAATAATTCTCCCTCAATGAGCTTCCCATTCACTATCTAATTATACCTTTTTCAATTAAGTGTCATTGTGGAGCGTCTGGATTTTAAAATCTAATAAACTAAGTGGTTATTTTATATTTCACCTTCACACTTACTGTCTTATATGCTCTCCCAGAGTCTAAACATTGTCTTGGTCTGAAAGAAAGAGGAAATCCCTTTTCTTTTTGAACCCACGAAGTCAGTACATCTCAGATGCAGCATTGTTTAAATATACATAGTTTTGTAATTCCAGAAGGTACATTTCTTGTTATATGGAGAACGTTCATTCCCTCAGCATCCTCTCAGACCTGAACCCAAATGCAATACAGATTTCATCCCCAATATTTTATGAGCAAAGTCGACATTGATACATATGTTGGATTTTAAATTTTTTCTGTACCTGATTCCAAATGTAACATAAGGTCAATACAGAAAACTAAAAAGCACAAAAAAATTAAATATTCATAATCCTATCAACTAGTAGTTAATTGTGGTATATAACCAATAATCTATTTTATGTGTTCAATATACTAATTTTGTTTTAATAAAAGGCATACCAAAAGGCATATATACTGATTTAGAGCCTGTTTTCCCCACTTATGAATAGAGCAGTTTCTCACACTGACATTTTTTCACAGGGCTTGCTGCATGGAATTCCATCCATAAAGTTACCTACAATGGATTCCTTATTTCCTTTGCTAGACAATTAGGGTTTACATTTTTCTCCCCAGACACTACACCTTTGCTCACAGCTCTGATGATTTTTATGGGATAACCTCTAAATTGAAATATGTCCATTTGAAATATTCTCACACACAGTATAGTTATGCTAACAACTAAAACTTGGAGGGCTCTGGTTCTGTCAAAATGTTCACTCACATTGGTTGATGTTTTCACCCTTTGCCAAATAATATGGGGGAAAATGTCAACCCTTTTTATTTCCTCTTCAACGGCCATCACGTTACTTTTTTTTAAAAATTAGTCATACAGATTTACTCACAACTCTACAAAAAAAAAAAAAAAAAAAAAAAAACCTTGCTCATTCTTACTTTTTTTTAGCATTGTTTGAGAGATTGTTTCACCAGAAAAGTTCATCCTATCTACTTCACTTAGCTAATTCCTAACCTTCATAGTGCTTATAACATTCATGGCCCCCAAGAATTTGCCTTCTCACATACCCTTGACTTTACCTTTTTCAAGCATGTAAAATTCGTCTTCAATAAGTCATTTAGTTCCGAAATGGCAAGGGCTCCCCAGGTTGAGTCCTAATATGCTTTAATGTCATGGTGTTTATTAATGTACCTTTTCAGGGGTCCTCTCAAAGGAGTAGGGGCAAAGGCATTTCCTTTAGGGATTGGGGGTGCACAGTGGACAAACCATCTTAGTGATTTTGGAATCCAAGCAGGCTTTGATGGGATTCCATAGCGGACTTTCAACCACAGCAATCTCAAGGAATGTCCTTAACAACGCCTGCTTTAGAGCCACATCTGAGCAAGGGTCCTGGCACTGCTGACAGCCCGAAGGCCCCAGGGCCAAAGTGGAGCCCTCGGGCTGGATGCTTGCCCAAGGTCTGTGTGGTCTGTGCTCTAGGTTCCTATTTTCAGGTCAATGCGCTTTATTCTCCCAGCAGAAGACACAGAAATGATGGCGCCAGCTCTGGTTTCCTTTCCCCAGAGCTGCCCACAGAACCGGGTGCCTTAGAACCCAGCAAGGGACCAGCGCATCCCCCACCCTCCACAGCTTAGGTTCCCCGCATCCCGCCCGCCCACTCTCGGGCTGCCCCCGCCCCTATCGGGCTGGCCCCACCCACTCTTGGGATGGCCCCGCCCCTCTCGGGATGGCCCCGCCCACCCCGGAACTCCGCGGAGGCCACGCCCATCCGCGGTCACGACCTGCGATTGTTGCGTCTGGTTGTCCTTGCTCCAAATGGGAATGTTCGCTGACCTCCCGGAAAATGACGGCGCCCCGCCGCCCCGAAAGCCCCTTTTCTTGGCGCTTCTGGGGGGTCATGTTAGTGACCCCAGTGCTCCTGCTCCCTACATCCTTCGGTAGGAGCCAGGGCGGGGAGTGCGCCCCCCAATGCACGGGCGCGGGCTGGAGAGCGGGCCCACAAGAGTCCAGGGCCTGGGAATTCTCTTGGTGGGTCGGGTGGAAGCTAGAATATGACATGAAAGAAGAGTGAATATGTGACCTGTTTAGAGTTCCCTTGACTGGACTCACCATCTGAAGTGAGACCAACCCAGGTTCCTCGGGGATCAGCATAGATCCATCTTCTTTCTTAGAGCCTTAGCCTCGTAGGCGAGGCCACTGGATTCTTTTAGCCCTGCAGGACTTGATGTGTCTCCACCACGTTATCCATAATAATAAAAGCATAATATGCTAATTAGACAGACATCCTTCCGAAAAGGCCACACTGGGTGAGGGCTCCCTGCCACGGCCAAGGCCCCTGCATGAATTTTGTGCATCAGGCCTCTAGTTTTACATAATAGTTCTAGCATGTGTTTTTTTTTAAAAAAGATTTTCAAGGAGCTAAGAGATCAACTGAAGGACTTGTATGCATGCACATAAGCATAATCAATGGACCCAAAACTCTGGGGGGTGAGGGCATGGATGTGAGTGGGGTGGCAGGGAAAATGGTAAGACATGTACACATACAATAGCTTAATTAAGAAAATGAAAAAAAGAAGATTTTCAAGCTCACAGGTAAACAAAAAGGAAATACTGCAGGGGCGTGGAGGGTGGGAAAGGAATAACATGGGAGAAAAAAAGACTTCTTGGAAGAGAATTGAGTTTTGAAATGAATTTCATAAGAAATGGGGAATGATACATAGCTATCACATTGATATTTGTCTCTTAAATTTACTGTTGAATAAAAACTCAGCTCATGCCCTACCTAGCTAGTTTGGCTCAGTGGATGGAGTGTTGGCCTGCAGACTGAAGGGTCCGGGTTCCATCCCGGTCAAGGGCACATGTCTAGGTTGCCAGCTCCATGTCCCCCATTTGGGGGCCATGCAGGAGGCAGCCAGTCAATCATTCCCTTTCTTCATTGGTATTTCTGTTCCTCCCTTCTCCCTTCCTCTCCGCAATCAATAAAAATATATTTTAAAAAATTAAGAAAAAAAAATCCAGCTCATTCTCCAACAAACCAAAAGCGAATAGAATGCTATTGAAAGCCAGTGCAGCCATGGGCCACTCCAAGGGCACTTGGGGGAAAGCAGGGAACAAGACTTTACAATCTGCCAAGGACCTTTCCATATATTCCGTCCTCCCCGCCTGCTGCCCGCCACGGTCTCTGGCTGTCAAAGAGGTTACATATTTCATTTTCATTCTCCTGTTTTCTTTTTCTAGGTGGCTGTGGTAAACCACCACTGTACCAGTCTATGAAGTTAAAGGGTACCCCTAAATCTTCCTATTTGCCTGGGGAGAAAGTACTTTATGAATGTAAACCAGGATACTATTATTCCTTTAATTACACCCTCAATACCTTTTGTCAGAAAAATAGCACGTGGTTCCCTATGGTTGAAGCATGTTACGGTAAGTAAACAAAACCTTCCTTTTTTATGCGTGTGTGTGCTTGCTCAAGTCTAGTGTTTCTTTCTTTTCTGAATACATATTTGGGTTCATTTTCCACAATGGCAATGATGGCTTTCTCATGGGAAATTAGGGTTTAGAGAGCAAGACAGGTGTTTAGGCCCAGACAAGTCTCCCGGGAATTATTTGTAGGCAGTTGGCTGCCTGGGTGAGTGTGAACTTTATGTTTTCCCTTACATGGCTCACTTGGGAAAATGATATTGCATGGATTGACAAGAGCAGGTTAGAACTTTTATTTTCTTTTAAGTCTGTTTTGAAAATTGTATAAAACAATGAATTTATACATTTCCTTTTAGAAAAAGCATGTCCAACTCCACATGTGCAAAGAGGTAAAGTAGACGACCCACAAATGGGCTTTGAATTGGGTAAAGAAGTTCACTTTTATTGCGATTACGGGTAAGTTGCTCCTTAGAGAAAATAAGGTAAATGTTACTGATTCCATATTGTTTCCCCTATCTTCTTTTTTTTCCTTTCTTTCTATTTTGTCAATAGTCTCCTTTTTTACACTCCTTCACCCAATCCCTGCCATGCCCAGGCCTTCCCCACACTATTGTCTGCATCCATATATGCATATATGATCTTTAGTTAATCTCTTCTTGTCCCCTCCTCCACTCTTCCCACTGAGATCTGTTATTCTTCCATGCTTCTGGACCTATTTGTTGGTCAGTTTATTTTGTTCACTTGATGAGAACATATATGTGAGATTGATCATGTGATATTTGTCTTTAACTGGCTTATTTCCCTTAGCATAATAGTCTCCGAGTCCATCCATGCTGAGCAAAGAGTAAGAGCTCATTCTTTTTTTCTTTTTTCCTTTTTTCCCCATTTATTTATTTATTTATTTATTTATTTATTTATTTATTTATTTTTACAGTTGCATAGTATTCTATTGTGTAAATGTACCACAGCTTTTTTATCCACTCATCTGCTGATGGGCACTTGGATTGTTTCCAGATCTTAGCTAGTGTAAATAACGCTTCCATGAACATAAGGATGCATATATTCTTTCTGATTGGTGTTTTGGGTTTCTATGATTTATTTCTAGAAGTGGAATTGCTGGGTCAAATGGCAATTCCATTTTTAATTGTTTGAGAAACATCCATACTGTTCTCCACAGTGGCTGCACCAGTCTGCATTCCCACCAGCAGTGAACGTGGGTCCCCTTTTCTCCACTTCCTCACCAGCACTTGTTGTTTGTTGATTTATTGATGGTAGCCATTCTGACAGGTATGAGGTGATACCTCACTGTTGTTTTAACGTGCATCTCTCTGATGATTACTGACACTTTTTATGTCTATTGGCTAATGGTATGTCCTCTTTGGAGAAGTGTCTATTCAAATTATTTGCCCATATTTTAATTGGATTGTTTGTCTTCCTGGTGTTAAGTTGTATGAGTTCTTTCTATATTTTGGAAATTAACCTCTTGTCAGGTCTATCAATGGTTTTGTAGTACATTTTGATATCCAATATTGTGAACCCTCTAACCTTGTTCTTCTTTCTCAAGAATGCTGTAGTGATTTGGGGTCGATTTTTGTTCCATATAAATTTTTGGAATATTTTTTCTAGGTCTGTGAAATATGCCATTGGTATTTTAATAGAGATTGTGTTGCATCTTGAAATTGCTTTGGATATTATGAACATTTTAATGATGTAAGTTTTTTTTCTTAAATATATATATATATATTTTAAATATATTTTATTGATATTTTACAGAGAGAAAGGGAGAGAGAGAGCTAGAAACGTCGATGAGAGAGAAACACTGACCAGCTGCCTCTTGCACACCCCCTACCGGGGATGTGCTCGCAACCAAGGTACATGCCCTTGACCGGAATCGAACCCGGGACCTTTCAGTCCGCAGACCGACACTCTACCACTGAGCCAAACCGGTTTCAGCTTAAATATATTTTTATTGATTTCAGAGAGGAAGGGAGAGGGAGAGAGAAAGATAGAAATAACAATGATTAAAGAGAATCATTGATTGGCTGCCTCCTGCATGCCCCAAACTGGGGATTGAGCCTGCAACCCGGGCATGTGCCCTGAACTGAAATCAAACTTGGGACCCCACAGTCCACAGGCTGACACTCTATCCACTGAGCAAAACCGGCTGGGGTGTTGATAATTCTTCATGATGTTAATCCATGAACATGGTATATGGTTCCATTTGTCTGTATCTCCTTCTACTTCCTTTTCCGATATCCTGTAGTTTTCTGAGTACAGCTCTTTTACTTCTTTGGTTATTCTTTGGTAATATCTATCTATCTATCTATATTAATTTGATAAATGGGAAATTATATTTAGTTCATTATAGGTGTATAAAAAATGCCTTTGTTTTCTGGATGTTAATTTTATATTCTCCTACTTTGCCAAATTAATTTCTTAAATCTAACTGTAGGGGTGTGTGTGTGTGTGTGTGTGTGTGTGTGTAGTCTAGGTTTTTCTATGTACAATATCATGTCATCTGTGAGTAATTACTGTTTTACTTCCTCCAGTTTGGAAGACTTTTATAACTTCTTGTGTGATCACTGTGGCTAGGACTTCCAATACTATCCTATATAATAAAGAGCTAATATGCTAATTAGACTGAACAGCTAAACGACTGTCCTGATGACCTTCCAGATGAAGCTGGGGCTGTGAAGAGCGGCCTGGGCTGCAAGGGGCTGAGAGGGCCAGCTGGGGCTGCGAGGGCAGAGCCCCTTGCACAGATTTCGTGCATCAGGCCTCTAGTGTTGAATAAGAGTGGTGAAAGCACACATCCCTGTCTTGTTCCTGATCTTAAAGGAAACAGTTTTTGCCCATTGAGTATGATGTTAGCTGTTGGTTTGTCATACATGGCCTTTATTGTGTTGAGGTATGATTCCTCTCTTCCTTTGCTGAGAGTTTTTATCATAAATGGGTGCTGAATGTTGTCGAGTGTTTTTTTTTCTGCATCTATTGATATGATCATGTGATTTTTTTTAATCCTTTACTTTGTTTATGTGATATATCACATTTATTCAAGATTTTCAAATATTGAACAAATCTTGCATCCCCGAAATTAATCCCACTTGGTGATGGTGTATGATCTTTTCAATGTATTGCTGGATCCTATTTGCTAATATTTTGTTGAGGATTTAGGCTCTATTAGAATGTTTATCAGGGATATTAACTTGTAATTTTCTTTGTAGTGTCTTTTTTGGTTTTGGGATTAGCATAATGCTGGCCTTATAAAAAGAGCATGAAAGTCTTCCCTCCTTTTGAATTTTTATTTTTATTGATTTCAGAAAGGAAGAGAGAGGGAGATGAGAGAGAAACATCAATGATGAAGGAAAATCTTTGATTGGCTGCTTCCTGCACACACCCCTGCTGGGGATCAAGGCTACAACCTGGGTATATGCTCTGTCCAGGAATTGAACCATGACCTCCTGGTTGTAGGTCAACGCTCAACCACTGATCCAAGCCAGACAGGCCTCTTGAATTTTTTGGAATAGTTTGAGGAGGCTGAGTGTTAACTATTCTTTAAAAGTTTGGTAAAACTTGCTTATGAAGCCATCCATCCTAGGACTTTTTGTTGCTGATAGGTTATTTTTGTTTGTTTGTTTGTTATTTTTTTACTGTTTCAATTTTATTAGTTGTTATTGTCTATTCAGGTTTTCTGCTTCTTCCTGACTGAGTTTCGGAAGATTATATGTTTCTAGGAACTTGTCCATTTCACTCAGGTTGTCCAGCTTGTTGGCATATAGTTGTTATTCTAAGTATTTTCTTAACAATCCTTTGTGTTTCTGTGATATCAGTTGTTACTTACCCTCTTTCCTTTCTGATTTTATTTATTTGGGTCCTCTCTAATTTTTTGCTTGATAAGTCTGGCTAAAGGTTCACCAAGATTATTTATCTTTTCAAAGAGCCAGCTCTTGGTTTCTTTGATCATATATATGTCATTTATTTCCACCCTGATCTTTATTATTTCCTTCCTTCTACTGATTCTGGGTTTTCCTTGTCCTCTTTCTAATTCTTTTAGGTGGAATGTAGATTATTTATTTTGCTTTTTCTTGTTTCTTGGGGTAGGCCTATAATGCTATAAACTTCCTTCTCGGGACTGCTTTCACTGTGTCTCATTGTTGTGTGTTCATTTTTATTTGTTTCCAGGAAGATTTTTATTTCTTTCTTGATCTCATTTGTAACCCATTTGTTGTTTAGTAACATGCTATTTAGTCTCCATGTGCTTGTCTGTTTTTGCTGCCATTGTGATCCGAGACAATGTTTGGTGTTTTTCCCAATCTTCTTGAATTTGTTAAGACTTATTTTGTATCCTAACATGTGGTCTACTTTTGAGAAAGATCCATGTGCACTTAAGAAGAATATATATTCTGCAGTTTTGGGAATGAAATGTCCTGTAAACAACCAATTAAATCCATCTGATTTAGTGTGTCATTTAAGGCTGCCACTTTTTCGTTGATTTTTTTTTTGTCTGTATTGCAGAAAGCAACTATATTAAAATTTCCTCTTTTTATGTATCATCTTGTTTACTGGTAAAGAGAACAGTAACTTTTTCCCCCCCTGTTTAGTTTTTATTTAAAAGGTGAACCAATTCTAACTTGTAAACTTTCTGGAGACAAGGTGCTTTGGGACCATGATATACCAACATGTGAAAGTAAGTAAATTTCCACTTTAGAATTTAGACCAGTATTTTCCACTTATGCTGATTTTTTAAAAAAGTAAAATATAATTGACATACAATATTATATTAGTTTCATGCATACAACATAGTGATTCAACCTTTATGTGTACAATGTTATCACTGTGATAATTCTAGTAACCATTCTTCAGCATATAAATGTATTATGTTGTTAGTGAATATGTTCTCTGTGCTGCACATTACATCCTATTGACCTATTGACCTATTGATTTTATAACCAGAAGTCTGTTCCTCTTGTTTCCCTTCTTCATATTTAGCCATCCTCCTAGCCCCCTTTACTCTATAGCCATCAGTCTGTCTTGTGTATCTATGACTCTATTTCTGTTTTGTTTGGTTTGTTTTCTTAGTTTAGATTCCACATATAAATGGTATTTCCTTTCTCTGTATGACTTATTTCATTTAGCATAATACCCTCTAGGTCTATCAGTTTTGTTGCAAATGACAAGATTTCATTCTTCTTTATGGCTGAGTACTATTCCTTTGCATGTAGATGTACATTTGTGTACTATATGTGTATACATAGATATATCTCATACCTTTTTTATCCACTCTTCTATTGATGGACACTTAGGCTGTTTCTATACCTTGGTATTGTAAATAAGGCTGCAATGAGCCTGGGGGTATATCTGTCTTTTTGAATTAGTGTGTTTCTTTTCTTTCAGTAAATACCCACAGTGACATGGGATTATTAGGTCCTATGGTAATTCTATTTTTAATCCTTTGAGGACCCAAAGTGGCGGCACCATTTTACAGCCTCACCAATAGTGCAAGATCATCCCCTTTTCCCCACATTCTTTCTAACACTCTTGTTTACCCTTTACGTTTTAAAATTAACAAAGATCTGAGTTTTGCTTTATGTGGGTTATGCCTATTAACATTCATTATATCACAATAAAAACTGAGAAGTTTCTAAAACATTTATTTTTAAAAACAGTAAATTTAATATGTATTAAAATATACAACATTTTTTTTATAAAAAATAAAAAAAATACCCAAAACAGAATAGTGACATTGTTTTACATTTTTATAAATGTCTTCAAAATCTGGCTTAAAGGAAGACACTTAGATTCACTCTATTGTGAAATAACACATTTTGTAGTGTAAAAAAAAAAAGACAATATCAGTATAACTGTGGAGCCATGACCTGGCAAATAGATATATTTATATTCTTATGAATTATAAAGCATTTCTCAACTAGCAGTGAATTTTATCTTTAATCATATCCTTAAATTTTCAGGAACTATTATGATGACTAGAACAAAACTTAACATAGCCTTAAAGATAAATGTAGGTATTTCATATAGATATTTAAATAAAATTGGTTTTCTTTTGAAAGTTCATTTCTACATGATTTGACTTTGGGGTAATAACACTTTCTCATAGAGACATTCTAAATGGATATTGGATTCACAGCGAGACTGTAGAACTCAGATGTTAGTGAATCTATTTTATTAAATATTGTCTTACCTCTACATTTTTCCTTTTTCTTCTCATTCACTCTTTTCCCCCTCTTTTTAAGAGATTTTTTGTAAAGCACCTGGAAAAATAAGTAATGGAAAATACACGAGTAACTGGAAGGAAGAATTTGAATTTAATGAAGTAGTGACTTATACTTGTAATCCCTCAAATGGACCTCAGGAGTATTCACTTGTTGGAGAGAGCAAGCTTACTTGTTCTGGGCCTAAAAAATGGAGCAGTGACCCTCCTCAATGTAAAGGTAATGATATTTCCTTCTTCGTTGGTAAATACAGTCAAAAAACTTCGTAGAGTGTCTTACCTAGAAGTAAGCAGTCATATGTGCTTCCTCCTCCTGTTAAATTACATTTTAATTTAATTTATTGTATATCAAGTTGAATCAAAAATAGTTCCAGTTATAGAATTTCCCGCCCCCCAACATGCTCTTGGCACTCCAGTTTATACAATAGGAACTACTGTGTAAATGTACAAATTAGGATTTTGTCTTTGCTTGAAAAAACAAAAAGCAACACACAATGGCTTAAAATTAAGACTATTTTATGTTAAATCATCTGAGAGATATAGCAATAGGTAGTGGCAGAGTAAATTGTAAAAGGCTCACTCTTACTGAGTTGGAAGAACAATGCTTAGCACATGTGTCAAACACAAGGCCCGCGGGCCAAATTCGTCCCACCAGGCCTTGCAATGTGGCCCGCACCGCGCTGTCATCACTGCACTCTGCTGCGTTTCCGTCACACTGACAGTTTATGACTGTTCAGTAAACCATTCGGCCCGCGATTTAGGCTGGATTTTAGATTTGGCCCCTTCTCTGATTGAGTTCGACACCCCTACGAGTAACCAGAAGCCGGAGGCAAGGAAGGGCATTTGACTTCTGTAGGAAAAGGACCACTGAGTACCAACGAAATATAATATTTACTTCTTCTTTTTTTTAATATATTTTATTGTTTTTTAACAGAGAGAAAGGAAGAGAGATGGAGAGCTAGAAACGTCAATGAGAAACATCAACCAGCTGCCTCTTGCACACCCCCTACCGGGGATGTGCCCGCAACCAAGGTACATGCCCTTGACCGGAATCAAACCTGGGACCTTTCAGTCCACAGACCGACGCTCTACCACTGAGCCAAACCGGCTTCGGCATACTTCTTACTAGTGTGTATGGAATGTAAGGTAGAGCATATTCTGGAAAGTAAGATAATTTAAAAAAAATTTTAAGTAATTGAAACAGAGTACATCCTCTGGTCATAGTAAAATAAATTTAGAGTCAAACAGAGATAATTTTTAAAATCTCCAAGTTCAGTCATATGTTTTATCATGACATTTCAGTCAGTGATTGGCTATATATACGATGATGGTCTCAAGATTATAAGGGAGCTGAAAAATTGCTATCACCTAGAAAATCCTGTCAGAGCTGTTAGAATGTTATAGCACAACACAGTATTCATGTGTTTGTGATGATGCTGTTGTCAGTGAGAGCTGTATTGTAAGTATAGCTCTTACGATAAAATTAGTAGGCTATACATAAGTACACTCTATGATGTCCACAATTCTCAGAACATTATCCCTGTTGTCAAGCGGTGCATGGCTGGTATTTGACAACCATGTAAAACAAATATCTAACTAACGATTGAGTCAAAGAACAAATCACAAGAAAAATTATGAAGTGTTTTGAATTCAATAAAAAATGAACACACAACATATCAAAATATCAACATTTGTGTGACACAGCAAAAGCATTATTTAGAGAAAAATTTATGGTGTAACATACAGTAGAAAACATCTCAAATCAATAATCTGGAAACTTTCACCTTAAAAAACTAAGAAAGAAGAGCAAATTAAGCCGAAACCAGTTTGGCTCAGTGGATAGAACGTCAGCCTGTGACTGAAAGGTCCCAGGTTCTATTCCAGTCAAGGGCATGTACATTGGTTGCGGGCATATCCCCAGTAGGGGGTGTACAAGAGGCGGCTGATCAATGACTCATCATGTTTCTAACTCTCTATCTCTCTCCCTTCCTCTCTGTACAAAATCAATAAAATATATATATTAAAAAAAAAAGAAGAAGAAAGAAAGAAAGCAGAGAATTCTCCATACTGTTTTCCACAGTGGCTGCACTAGTCTGCATTCCCACCAGCAGTGCATGAGGGTTCCTTTTTCTCCGCATCCTGTTTAGCACTTGTTGTTTGTTGATTTGTTGATGACAGCCATTCTGAGAGGTGTGAGATGGTACCTCATTGTTGCCACCTGAGAACTTTTTCTTTATGTATCTTTGCATGGCTAGTTTCTTTGCAGCTTTTAAATTTCACCCCAACTATTTCCTTCCTACAAGAGTTTTCTAAAAAGACAAGGTACAATAATCAGTGTCACCATGAACTTTAAAAAAATCTCTAGAGCGAAAGTATCAAAAGTTGCATTTGAATGTACTTAGAATTTATATCTGGTAGACTTTTTTCAAACTTTGCAGTAGAAAAAAAATTATATATATGGCCCTAGCCGGCTTGGCTCGGTGGATAGAGCGTCGGCCTGTGGACTGAAGGGTTTTGGGTTTGATTCTGGTCAAGGGCATGTACGTCCATTGCAGGCTCTTCCCCAGCCCGGGCCCTGGTTAGGGCTAGTGCAGGAAGCAATCAGTCTATGTACTTATCTCACCTCTTTCCCTGTGTCTTTCCCTCTCTCTTATACTCTCTCTAAAAATCAATGGAGAAATATCATCAGGCGAGGATTTAAAAAAAAGGATGAAACCAATAAATTATATTGACTGTTCCAGGTGGGAAAAAAAGTTATCAGATTTCTCTGAATCTGTTTACCTGGAATGAAAATGCACATAAAAAGTCCTTTAAAAAAATACTTATATCTTGCCTTTCACTCCTTGCTACTTGGCACTATTTTTTCTGGTATTATAGTAAAACAACTTTCTGGTAATGCTGAAATGTCTTTACTTTTTAGTGGTCCACTGTAAACCACCAGTACTCAAACATGGAAAGCCAGTATCAGAAATGAAAAAAAGGTTTTCCTACCAAGATAAGGTTACCTTTGCATGCCTGGAAGGTTTCTACCTCAGTGGCAGCAACCCAGTGTTCTGTGGTGGAAGCAGTACTTGGGAGCCTGTGATGCCCAAGTGTATTAAAGGTACACAGTATGTCCTTTTCCTTCTTGTTTAGTAAGGTTTTATTTATTTGACATTAAATAGCCATGATAAAGAATAACTGGAAAGATGCATTTTTAGTCAATATCTTTTCATATTCATGACAGATGTCTGACATAAAGTTCACATAGAATTTTGCTGCTGTGGTTTTGTATGTGTTCATAGGGTTCTTAACACATTCTGTACATCACATAGGTCTGTAAGTTCCTCGTGTTCAGTACTTTTATGGTATGGTTAGCAACCACTTTTTCCAGGATAAATGGGATGAATGATGGGAATTTTTACCTAAGTCAGAATGAAAGTCATAATTCACACAAATGAAAAGAAAATGATCATTTCCAAGTGATTGATCCTACATTGTTATGTTTCTCAATGTCAAAGCCTCTTATTTTGAGCCATTCATATTTATTAACATCCTATTTAAATTCATGTTATTTACACCAATTTATAACTTTTAGTAATAAGAGGGGGAAGAACATACATATAGCCATTTTAGTTGTTATTCTTACTGATTCTAGGATTACTTGCCATACTCAGATATAAATAGGCATGCATACTTGGGCAAGTTACTTAAACTTCAAAGTATTTACTACTTACATGTAAATGATTTAGTGAGAGGAACCAAGATGGCGGCATAGGTAATCACCTAACTGCAGCCTCACACAACAATTTCAATAAAATACAACTAAAATACCAAATGGAGGTTACCCAGAACTACAGGAAAGTCAACTGACTGGAAATTCTACAACAGAAGGAAAGAGAAAACCAGAAGGAAAATCAGGGGAGCTGTAAGAGCCTAAGGTATGGAGACATGTTGCACGTGCAGAGAGGACGGACCCAGAGAGGAGGGGAAGGCTGAGTGCCTGGCTGGCGTTCCCTAGTGGGAAAAAGACAAAAGCTCCGGACTGTGCTGAGCCCCAGTTTCGACTGCACTGAACCCCAGTTATAGGCCAGACCATGGGGACCCAGGCTCATACAGAGGGAGCCTGGGCAGTTAGGCAGAAATTCAGGGGAGTGTTGAAAGGAAGTCCCGGAAGCGCACACATTGTGCGCAGTGAACGGATGGTTGACTGTGCTGCTGGATTGCATTAGCAGGAAGGAGACAAAAGCTCCAGACTGCCCTGAACCCCACTTCCAACCCCACTTCCAACTGAACCGAACCCCAGTTCCGGGCTCATTTAGGGAAGAGCCTAGACTGTTTGGTAGTGGGTGAAACTCGAGGGCACCTTTCTCTCAGAGGTGCTTGCAGCAAGTACAGAAGGACACTGAGGAACACTGAGACTCAGGAACTTGATAGGGCGGGGCTGACGGAAGCCAAGGCTGTAGGCTCCACCTTGAAACTCTGCCCGATCCAAGCTGAACACAGAGACTTTTAAGGCTACCAACTCAGGGAAGCTGCAAAAATGCCGAGACAAGGAAACAGATCACAAACGAAAGAAATGGAGGACAAAAAGCAACTGGATATAGAGTTCAAAGCCACGCTTATAAGGCTTTTCAAGAATTTCCTAGAAAAGGCCGGTAAAATAAATGAGACTTCTGAGGATATGAAAAGGGATCAACTAGAAATAATAAGGGATCAACTAGAAATAAAGAATACATTGTCTGACGTAAAAAATATTATACAGAGTCCTAAAAACAGAATGGAAGATCGCAAGAATCAAGTCAAAGATTTGGAACATAAAAAGCCAGAAGTCACTCCTCCACAGAAGCAAGAAGACAAGAGAATCCAGAAAGTTGAAGATAATGTAAGAAACCTCTGGGACAACTTCAAGCGAACCAACATCAGAATTATGGGGGTCCCAGAAGAAGAGAGAGAGCAAGATACCGAAAACATACTGGAAGAAATAGTGACAGAAAACTTCCCCCACCTGGGGAAAGAATTAGACTTACAAGTCCAGGAAGTGCACAGAACCCCAAACAAAAGGAATCCAAAGAGGACCATACCAAGACACATCATAATTAAAATTCCAAGAGCAAAAGCCAAAGAGAGAATATTAAAAGTAGCAAGAGAAAAGCAGGTAGTTACCTATAAAGGAGCACCTATATGCTTGTCAGCTGATTTCTCAATAGAAACCATGCAGGCCAGACAGGAATGGCAAGAAATATTCAAGATAATGAATAGCAAGAACCTACAGTCAAAAATACTCTACTCAGCAAAGCTATCACTCAGAATCGAAGGCCAGATAAAGAGCTTCACACACACACACACAAAAAAAAAGCTAAAGGAGTTCATCACTGCCAAACCAGAATTATATAAATTGCTGAAGGGGGTTCTTTAGGAAGAGGAAGAAGATAAAGATAAAAATTATGAACAACAAATATGTAACTATCAACAAGTGAATCTAAAAACCAAGGGAATTAAAAAATCTGATGAACAATATTAACTGGTGAATATAATAGAATCAGAGGTATGGAAGGGGAGTGAACTAACGATTCTTGGGGAAAAGGGGAGTGGGGGGTTCGGGAAGACACTGAACATAAACTGTGCCCCTATGGATGAGGACAATGGGGTGTGGGGAAAGGGCAGAGGGTGGGGTGGGAACCTGGTGAAGGGGAGCAATGGAGGGGGGAAAATGAGGAACATTTGTAATAATATGAACAATAAAGATTTATTTTAAAAAATAAATAAAATGATTTAGTATCTTCCTAACTGGGTGATAATACAGCTTAAATTGGTTGCACTTAAACCACTTAGCACTATGAAAAGTTTGGAAAATATGCATATTTTTAATTTTGAGGAATAGCTAATCTTTCTAAAAAATAAAAAATCAAATTAAATCCATAATTTTATTGATAAGACTGATGAATGAAATAAAATTTATTTCTCCAGATTCCAAGTCTACTCCAACCAAGCCACCAGCTGCAAGATATCTAGGTTCAGTAACTTTTTTTTTTAATTTTACTGTAATTTTCCTCCCATCACCATTTATTCCTTCTATGCCCTCTTCCACCTCTACCTCCACCCACTCTCCTTCCCCCATTCATCACCACATTCTTGTCCATGTCCATGAGTTCTCTCTCTCTTTTTTTGTTTTTTGCTCAATCCCTCTACCTTCTCCCCTTTTCGCTCTCCCCTCCCCCCTTACCCCCTCACCCCTGCCCTCCAGTCCCTTACACAGCCCCAAACTGGAGCTGTCCACCTGCTTTCTATCTATGAGTTTGTCAATATTGTACTTGGTAGTTTAGTTTGTTCATTAACTATTAACTCTTTATCCTCCTTATATTATTAAGAATTATATTTGTGGGCTGATGGTGAAAAGTCACATCTTATTTTAATTTCCATTTATTTAATTATTATGAGGCCAAACCGGTGTTGTTGTTTTTTTCTACATTCATTTACTCAGATCCTTTGCTCAGTTTTCTGTTGGGTTTCTAAAATATTATTTTTGTTAACTGTGAGAACTTATTATAAATTAAAGACCTTTTAATATATAGTGAACATTTTTCTCAAGGTTTTTATGGCCTAATTTTATTAGTTCATTTTCGTTTTAGATTTTATTGGATATAGATCTTTCTAAAAAATAAAAAAATAAATAACAAAAGGATACAGAATAAAAATTTAGTCCATTGTCTGAGTTAATCACCCTTCATAATTTAAGTGACTTTTTATCCATTTCATATAAGGACACATCCTTATATGATTGGTTATACATATTTTGCCTTCTTTTTTTTTTCATTTTTCTTAACTAGAAATAGACTCATGTTGTTCATATTTTCCTAAAACTCACACATTTTACACTTATTATCTTAGATTGGGTTGTATTTAAATTTATCCCCATCCTTTTTAGTGACGACTTTAATATATGTCACATTTTATTTAGCTACTCTCCTATAATGGACAGTTATATGTGCAGAAGAGTTGAATGTATTGAACTATTCCCTAATGGCTCTGAGAATTGTGTCGTTCTTTTTTTTTTTTTAATGTATTTTATTGATTTTTTACAGAGAGGAAAGGAGAGAGATAGAGAGCTAGAAACGTCGATGAGAGAGAAACATCGACCAGTTGCCTCTTGCACACCCCCTACCAGGGATGTGCCCGCAACCAAGGTACATGCCCTTGACCGGAATCGAACCCGGGACCTTTCAGTCCACAGACCAATGCTCTACCACTGAGCAAAACCGGTTTCGGCTGTGTCATTCTTATAAAAGCTTTAAGTCTTCAAATTATATAAACATTGCAACCATGGGTTCTGATTTCATTTTTTTTTTTTTTTTGCATTTAAATCATTGATATATTTGAGCTTCATTATGGAATATGGAATCAGATTGGTTTCTTCTCCACTTCACCCACCCCCATTCAGCAGCTAAGTTGCACCGTCTGTCTATGGAATGGATTGTCTTCTCTCCAACTGTTTTATATATATATATATATATATATATATATATATATATATATTATATTTTATTGATTTTACACATAGAGTAATTGAGAGGGACAGAGAGTTAGAAATGTCTATGAGAGAGAAACACTGACCAGCTGCCTCTTGCACACCCCCCACCGGGGATGTGCCCGCAACCAAGGTACATGCCCTTGACCGGAATCGAACCCGGGACCTTTCAGTCCGCAGGCCGACGCTCTATCCACTGAGCCAAACCGGTCCCAGCTCTCCAACTGTTTTATCACACACCACATTCATAGGTGTTCCAAATTCATAGGCGCTCTAGTCTCCCACAGAAGTTGCACCATCTTACATTCCCACTAGCAGTGCACAAAGATACTAATATCTTTACCTATTTGCCAACACATGTTCTCTTCTGCTTTTTGATAATAGCCATCCTAATATCTGGTCGGTAAAATATGTGACATAGTATCTCATTGTGGTTTTTATTTGTATTTCCCCAGTGATTAGTGATGTGTAGACATCTTTTTATGTACTTATTCAGCATTTGTATCTATTCTGTGGAGAAATGTCATTCAAGTCCTTTGCTCAGTTTTGAATTGAGTTGGGATTTTTGTTGTTGCTATTTAGGAGTTTCATCTTTACTCTTTTTTTTTTTTTTTAACTTATTTCAATTTTTTTCTAGGCTATCTCAACTTTCATCAATTATCATCAGCTGAAGAGATTGTGGAATTAGGTATTAGTTTCTTTCTTCTTCTTTTTTAAAAATCCTAAACTGAGGATATTTTTTCATTGATTTATTTTTTATTTTTTGGAGAGTGGAAGGGAGAGGCAAAAATAGAGAGAAATACCAATGTGAAACACATTCATTGGTTGCCTGCTGCAGGAGCCCTGACCAGGGCCTGGACCGGGGAGGAGCCTGCAACCGAGGTACGGGCCCTTAACCAGAATCAAACCTAGGACCCTTTGGCCCACTGGCCGATGCTCTATCCGCTGAGCCAGACCTGCTAGAGCATTAGTTTAGTTCTTAATAATTCTTTATTATGAGACCTTAGAGTTCTACATGAATATATTATGTTCCGATTATTTGTAGTTAGAGGAAAAACAAGATGTCAAAAATTATTAGGAATAGATGACATTTATAGTTCCTTTAGTATTATAGATGCCATAACAAATGTGATAGAATGTATAGACCCATGCAAGTAGTTTTCTTTAATCTTGAGAATTTTAGTTGTCCTATGAACCTTTACTACAGCACAAAACAATGACAAGTAAGCTTCCTATTAAGAGTTTCACAAGGCATATCCTATAGTCGGAATCTATTTGAAGTGTTCTTTGAGCAAAGTGGTTTGGATTTACTTGCAATCACGCTAATACTAGAATGATACTATTTTCTGTAGTTTTTAGATGATCAGGTCAAAAGTAAAAACAAACAAACAAATAAACCCTGCTATCTGAGACCCATACATGCTCAATATCTTTAAAACTAATTTTCTTTTTCCCCCCTCAGAACCAGGAACCATTGCTCTATTTAGTCTTTCTATATGTAAGTATCTCACACTTGAAAACCATTGAAATAAAAATATTACATTCCTTTCCATTACATAGAGTGCATTCTTTTCTGATGATTTTTCCGTTTTTATAGGTTTTATAGCTTGAAATTAAGTAAACCAGTGTAGAAAAAACTGACCTTTCGTATTTTATACACCTTTTGCTGGTGATTGTATATTCATTTATACAGTATTCTATATGTCTACTTCGTAACAAACCCTCAATAATACTTTCCCCCCCCCCAATATGATTAGTCATATTGACTGTGCATCTCAACTATGCTTCAGGTAACTTTCTAAACTAAACTGGACACTTCTCTGACTTACTGTGGACTATTTAAGTGATTCCAGGTAATTGCACTTAGGTGGAGAAGAATCCAGATGAAATATAAATGTACATGTATTTGAAAAAGAACACTTTTGAGCACTGACATGTAACCGACAGTAACTTCTTCTTCTAGGGTTTGAATCTTGGAAAGTAATTTTCAGAGTTACATGTCACTTCTTTTCTGGTTTCTTACAGTTGTTGGCGTTGCAGTAATTTTAGTCGCTGTGTACAAGTGCCTTCACAGAGGGAAGGAAGAGTGAATGAAACATTTATTCTCATTTATTGGTCCTTCTCACTCTTGACATCCTTTGGTGCTGCTTTTCTTTGTATTGCTTACCACCTATTTTTTAAATGTGCTACCTTAGTGTGCCATCTGCAGTAAATTTCTTTACTAAAATCCGTTTCAGTTGCCTTTAGCATAAAATAAAAATATATTTTATTGCAACAAGAATAATCTGTGCATAATAATTTAGTTATTATGTCTGTAAGAAAGTTTTTTTTTGTTGTTGTTGTTGTTTTTTGAGGTTTGAGGTTTAACTTCTGCAGCAAAAAAATAAATAAATCATGGACCATGATGGGGTCTTCCCAATTCAACATATGCCCTATTTTCTAAAGTGAGCTTGTGGCCAGGATTACATTTCAAATAGTTCACTGTGGAGACTTTAAGGTATGGTCACTGGAATTTTTAGGATGAAAGCTTCCATTTGGCTGCATAACAAGAATTTGTAAGACCCTATTGCAGGTGTCATATTCAAATAGCCAATTTGATTTCATTTAGAATTTTTATTTATATAAGTTAAACTGGGAAATTAGAAGCAACACCATTTGATTTCCCTCTTATGTTCTCTTAATTTTTCTAGGCAGTAGTACACTGATGGGCTAAAGTTAAAAGTACAGAGAAGACTAATGTTTGAAAGGTACCTCATTAACTTTATTTGCCATTTTATTTATAAAAATAGACATAGAAATCCAAGAAGTGCAGAGAATGCCAAAAAAGATGAATTGAAGAAACCCACCCCAAGACACATCATAATTAAAATTACAAAGGTTAAAGACAAGTAATGTTAAAAGCAGCAAGAGAAAAAAAAAAAGTTATGTAAAAGGGAGCTGTCATAGGATCATCAGCTGATTCTTCATTTTGTAAGCCAGAAGAGATTGGCATGAAATACTCAGTGATAAAAGGCAAGGGCCTTCAACCAAGATTGCTCTACTCAGCAATGCTATCATTTAGAATCAAAGGAGAGATAGTTTCTCAGAGATTAAAAAAAGAAAGAAAAAAAAGCTAAAGAACTTCATTATCACTAAACCAGCAACCTAAGAAATGCTCAAAGGCAAAAAGGGACTTGTTTCAATAATTCCTTTTACAAGTGAGGGAATGTCCCCAGAAGTCCCAGCAGACCACCCTTCATTCAGGCACCTTGTCAGTGCCCTTCTCTTCCCTCTCAGTCTCACCCTGGCAGTGGGTCTGCTTTGTTTACTGATAACAAAAGGAGAAAAGAAAAAAATGTTTTTATTACCTCCAAGCTTAGAGGCTCGAAGGGCCAACTCAGCTGTCCCTGGAAGATGGCACTGGCACCCTGTCCCCAGCTCATGCATCCTCAGCAGAACCCAGAACTTCATGCCAACTGCATTATTCCTCCCAGCCCCTGGGACGAGGAGTAGAGGGAGGGAGGAAGACTGTCCTAGTTCAGAGGGAGGGCTGGCGACTCTCCCCAAAGCTTCCTTCTCCCCTGGAATTACAGGGCCCCTGAGTCTGGCCACAGGAGAGCTGGTGGTCCAGGCAAAAGGGCAGAGTGGCCTTGTGACTCCACAGAAGTAAGCCCACCCAGGTGGCTGTGGGGTTCATAGGTATATGCACGTGTCTCTACCAGCTCCCAGAACAACCCTGATCCTAGGTATCACTGTGCTGACAGCGTGACCCAGGAGAACATGCACAGGCAGGCTGAGAAGGAAAACCCTTATTTGTAACAAACTGCTGTTTGGAATTTTCTGCTCTTAGAGGGCATCTTATTCTAAAATGATGCTTTTTAGTCTGCTTTAGCCTGTTTGAAGAATGATGAAGATAAACTTAGCTGTATGACCTTGTAGGCCAGAGACTAGATATGCCATAATCTCAATGCCATGCCAGGTGCACTTTTTAATTGGATAGAACTGTGTTGTTTTCAAGGCCAGCATCGAGATAACCACTGAATGCACATAGGGCTGGCTCTTTAATAAAAAGGGAAGTCCTGCTTGTAGCCTTGCTTAGAATTTGAATTCATTTTCTCTAAGCCCATCGCGCGATGAATAAAGTGAGTCTCCTCCTGCATTGTTTGATTGTTCGGGAACTCTGTAACAGGCCATGGGCTCCTTGGAAGGTGGAAGCGGGGTCCTATCTGGTTTGGTACCCATGGGACCTAACAAGATGCCTGGCTCATGGTAAGTTCTCAATACACAGGCAAAGAGCTAACAGAAAAGAACTGAAGGACAGTGACAGGGAAGGAAGGGGGCAGGGATGTATCTCCTCCTAATCTGTCGGAGGAGTACATGCTCTTAGTGACGCCGCCTAGGACAAACAGTTCTGTCTCTGATGTAGAGCATCATCACCGGAGCAGCTTTTGAAAGTGGTAAGTGCTGCCGAAATCGGTTTGGCTCAGTGGATAGAGTGTCGGCCTGCGGACTGAAAGGTCCCAGGTTTGAGTCCCGTAAAGGGCATGTATATTGGTTGCGAGCACATCCCCGGTGGGGAGTGTGTAGGAGGCAGCTGGTCCATGATTCTCATCCATGTTTCTGGCTCTCTATCCCTCTCCCTTTCTCTCTGTAAAAAATCAATAAAATACACTTAAAAAAGAAAGTGGTAACTTTATGAACTCAGGGGTTAACCACCATTTCCTGAAAACCTGGCAAACCCGGGAGGGGGTCAGCCCATGTTGTGGGCGCAGACCGAGCCGCAGCTGCCATAGACCAGGTGGGTTTAGAGAGGTTGGCCAGGCCACGCCCCATTCATTCCCTCTCCGGGACAAACGCTCCGCCCCCGGTGCCGCGGCCCCGCCTCACAGCCTGCCATTGGCCCGACGGGCCCTGACGTCACGGCCGTGGCCACGCCCAGCAGCGGCTGGGTACCGCCCTGGACACTTCACTTCTTGACTCCGGGGATTGTTGCGTCTGACAGCTGCTCTCAAAAAGGTAAATGCTGGCTGCCCCTCGGGTTTCCTACCGAGCTCTTGGAAGATGATGGCATCCTGTGAGCTGCGCTGGCCCCCTCCGCACCGCCGCGGGGGCGCCTTTTCCTTTTGGTGCTCCCCGGGGATCCTGTTGGTGGCCCTGGGGCTCCTGCTGCCCATGTGCTCTGGTAGGGGGAAGGTGTGAGCTCTGGAGGCAAACCGGAGAGAGTTAGGGAGCTGGCCGCCCGGAGCCGATGGGAGGTGGGGATGGGGAGGGATTTGCTTGTTGGGTCGGGTAGGAAGCACGGGGGCTTGGTGAACCAGGTGGGTGCCGGTGGAGCCCAGCTTAGGATGGCCTTTCCGTGGTACCTACAAAGCGACTGCAGGGCCCGCGGAGGGTGAGATAGGCTCTACCTTCCCATGGATGGAGAGTTTGCAGGGCTCTCCTATCCACCCCTATATTCTGGTACAGTGTGCTTGCTGACAGTATTCTGGTTACTGATCATTAAACACAGTTCATTTCTATGAGGGAGGGAAGGGGGACGTGGTGGTAAGGAGAAAAACCAAAGGAACTTAAAAAAAAAAAGAAGAAGGATCAAATTTAGAATAGGCTTCAAACTATAAAGTTGAAGGACACACTGTGCATGCTCTTTGGAATAGAGAAAAATGAATGGAATGTAGGGTACAACATGGGAGAGAACAAAACTGGACATGAAGGGGGATGAAAAACAAGGTTAAGCTCAAGGTTGAAAAATAAAATCAGGATAAAATAAAACTTAGAGAAAGTAAAAAGGAGAAATCACTAAGCTGGGTGGGGGGAAACTACCTAAATAAAACAAACATTTCACTCTTTTTTTTTTTTTTTAAATAAACATATTGTATTGATTTTTTACAGAGGAAGGGAGAGAGATAAAGAGTTAGAAACATCCATCAGCAGCCTTTCTCACACCCCCTACTGGGGATGTGTCCACAACCAAGGTACATCATGCCCTTGACCTGAATTGAACCTGAGACCTTTCAGTCCACAGGCTGATGCTCTATCCACTGAGCCAAACCGGTTTCGGCTACATTTCGCTCTTGAAGCCCCTCAGGAGAAGGGTTTGTAGGCAGCCTTGTGCCTGGGAGGCTTGCAGCTCAGAGGTAAATGCTGCGAAGTTGCAGCCGGGAAAACTTGTGTTTCCAGGAGCCATCTCATTCCTCCCAAACCCACAATATAGTGTTACAAGAGGTCTCTTCTGCCTATTTTAGGTATTTTCTCTCTTGCTAATTAAAGAAACGGAGATCAGCAAATGCTTACACAGTGTTTCTTGGTTTCTTTTGTGTGCAACTTACAACACAAAGGAACAGTCCTTTTCCTATCAGTTGCTAGGTTACCAGGATACTGGCAGATTGAATTAATTACTTATCCCATTAACCGGGAAACTTATTGGTCAACAGATCCAAATATCAACAGTGCAACCATTGGAATTTCTTTTGAGAGCCAAATTTTTTAAACTTAAACTTCTTCTAACGCCACTTCTTCAAAATAGACTCACCCAGGCCGTGGTATTTTGTGGAAGAGCCACACTCCAGGGGCCAAAGAGCCGCAGTTTTCTGACCTCGGGCCTATCCAAATCCTTTCCCAGGGCCCAGAGTTTCAAATGACTATTGCATCTTCTTTACCATCGTCTCTATTCTACAGAAGTGCTTTAGTACTAACTTCTTTTAGTACTAAACTAACTAGGTTAGTACTAACTTCTAATAGCTACTATGGGGGTCATACTGTGCTAGGTATTTTGGCCACATGAATGGACAAAGTCAGCCATGCTAACTAGTAAACACAAAAACATGTGCCAGTGACCTGAGAAATCCAGGCAGAAGAGAGTCCCAGAATAGGGACCATTCACTGCCTCTTTGGGGAGGGAGAATATGTTTCCTAGGGATATTGAGCAGGTGAGTCTGCAAGATAAGGGCTGAGCAGGAGTAGCAGGTGAGCAGGGAGGAAAGGTGGGAGGAGCTTAGGGAGACTCAGAGATGTGACAAGGCTCAGGGCATCCATAGATTCTCAAGCTATCCAGTGTGGCAACAGTAGGGCAACCGAGGCAAGAGAAAGACACAGAACAAGACCTGCTTTTAGAATGTATTCGCAGCGCTATATGCACCCCTATGTTCATTGCAGCATTAGTCACAGTGGCCCAAACATGTAAACAACCCAAGTGTCCTGTGATAGAGGACCGGATGTGGTACTTATACACAAGGGGATACGTCTCAGCCATAAGAAAGGATGAAATAGCGCCATTTGCAGCAAGACGGATGGCCCTGGAGAACATTATACTAAGTGAAATGAAGTCAGAAAAAGTTATGAACCATATGATTTCACGCCTATGTGGGATATACAACGGACACTAGTGAACACAGACAGCAGTGTGCTGCTTTCCAGGGTGAATGGGGTGGGGGTAAGGAGTGTCCTAATATATGGTGACAGAAGACTTGACTTTGGGTGGTGAGCACATGGTGCAATAGACAGATCATATAACACGGAAACCCATACGGGAAATCTATATTGACTATGTTGACCAGAGTCAGCCCAATCAAGGACCTTCCCATTCACTTTGTACTAACTACCTGCTGCCCAACCACAGTCCCTGGCTGATGGAAAAAGATAAAATATTTTTCTTTTTTCATGTTTTTATTATTTTATGCCCAGCTGCCTGTACTGCTCCTACTTTTAAATATATGGTGCCAATTACTCCCCCGAAAGCATCGTATGCTCCTGGAGAAGAAATAGACTTTAAGTGTATCCCAGGATACAAGCGTATTACACCTCTTCTCCACACCATTACTACTTGTCAGCCTAATAACACATGGGCGCCTGATCTCCAGGAGGCTTGTGAAGGTAAGCACACAAAGCTTTTCCTTGTATTGCTCTGGATATTGTCACACATTTTAGACTGCATAGTCCACTATTACTATGATGGCTTTGCCATGGGGATGGAGATGGTAGATAGTAATGTCTTTGAAAATCTCCCGGGAATCTTCTTCTTAGCAATTGCTTGTCAGGGTCAATGTGAATGTTAAGTTTGGGCTTTAAATAGTGAAATGGCTTCAAAAGAGCGATAATGAAATTTTGATTTGGATCCACCTGCATTGAAATTGGCATCTAACAACACATTTGAACTTTTTTTCTTTTAGTAAACACATGTCCGAAGCTAGAAGAGCCCCTCAATGGCCAAATAGTCTATGTAGCTTATGTAAACACAAATAAGAAGTTTGGTTCTCAAGCTTATTATATGTGTAATGAAGGGTAAGTTGCACCATAGAGGAATATAGTAAATGTTACTGATTCTATTTTCAGTGTGCTTCTCTTCTTCAGCATTCCCATAATGTTGACTTCATCTTGCTTTCTGTGTGACAAGTTGTACTTCCAGCCAGCCAATCAACTCTTGGGCTTTTTATGCAGACTGAGAAGATGTGTAAGGAATAGAAATTAAAAATGAAGGAAAGGATACTTGTATAATACTACATGCAAGAATAAGCCTATCGTTAGCATTAAAGTTGTAGTAATCATGATGACATTACTTTAACAAGGAAGTATATCCTATTTAAAACTGCCAATTCGCTGAGCTGAAGGAGGGCTTATAGAATTGGTAGGTAGGTTTACCCACCAAAGATATTGTTCATGGAGATAACTCTGTAAAGTGTTACCAGGTGAACATTGACCTGGTTAACCTGGAACATAACATTGATCAAAATTCTTTTGTTAGAAAACATGAGTTTTGAGGCAGTTATAAAGGAGTGAAGGTCTCAAAAACAAGTACTGAGCACTTAATAGTAGTAGCCTTTGTTCCCTTGGGCTCTTTTAATCCTATATAATGAAGAGCTAATATGCTAATTGACCAGCCAGATGATCTTCTGGACGACCATCTGGACAACCTTCCAGGTATGTATGGTATTACTCAATAAGGCTGACACTTCGCTGAGAATAATCTATGTTTTAACCTCAACAAGGAGCCAAGCAGGCTCTCTCTCTATGTAGCTATTGACTGCATATTGGCACTTGATCAAATTAAAATAGAATCAGTAAAACAGCCTGTATACATTTCCAGCTGACATTTCCCACTAGCCTAATTCATTGATGAAGCTGGGGCTGCCAGGGCCAAGGCAGCAGCAGGGGCTGCGAGGGTTGTCTCCTTTGCATGAATTTTGTGCACTGGGCCAAGTGCAGGGTGGGCTATTTCTGGATATTACAGTCTGATGGAGTGGGGTCTTCCTCCAAACATGCCCCCCAAAACAGGTGCTATTTGCCTCCTTGTCTTAAATTTTAGCTTTGACATTCTCAAAGGTGTCATTGGCCTCAAACTTGAGAGTGCTGGCCTTGCCCTTCAGGGTACTCAGAAAGATCTGGCTTTCTGTGTCGGCCACTTCACAAATGAAAGAGGACAGCAAAACTAAGAACCACCGACCTGCCACCAGATTTGCTGTTAAAGACAGCTGTTTTAAAGTCTGTGTCTAGTAGATCTTTCCTCGGGTGTGTTTTTTTCAGGAATACTTTTTATTGATTTACTTTTTCTTTGAATAGGCCATATTATCCTGTTTCTTTGTATGTCTTGTGATTTTTGTTGTTGTTGAACTGAATATTTGAATATAATAATGCGAAAACTATGGGAATCAGATTGCCATCCATTGATAGGTTTTGTTTTTTTTAAATTGTTTTTGTTTTTGGATTTTTGTAAGGTGTGTCTGTGCTGAGGATCAGCCTGACAGGTAAACTAAATGTTTTCTCAGATTTTTTTTTCCTGAGCCTTTCTCAGGGCATGAATAACCACTTCCTAATTTTCCTCACTTATGTAGTTGTTTTGAAATGTCCCAGGTTTCAATATCTGTATCCTGAAAGGGGAAATCATGAGAAATGAAGAATAAATCACTGGAATTCACCTCAATCAGCAAGAAATGGCTTACACATTGGAGAAGCGAGATATAACAACAATGGCTGCCCATGTCTTTGTCTGCTTCTCTGTGACCAGAAAGATCCATCAGTGATAAAAGCAGGGGCTCCCTGATACTTGGAGAATACAGGCCTTTGAGCTCATGCTGGCTCCTTCAGTCTGCTGATAAACTGCTTGAGGAGCACAGCTGTGTGCTGTGGGAGTGGGATGGGTAGCTGACACTGTGCTAAGAGCTGAAATTGACCAATATTAGTGGAATTTACCTGCCCAAGTCTTTTCCTGGAAGTTGCAAGCCTTCAACAAACTCTAGAGTTTCAAAACAGTGGCATTATGCAGATTCTAGTAGGAAATGTTGTCAAAATGGGGAGAGCGATTCTTGAAGCTTCCTACCCATCATCATTACAGAATCCTTTCCTAATAGATTATAATATAGAAACAATGAATTAGGCTAGTGGGAAATGTCAGCTGGAAATGTATACAGGCTGTTTTACTGATTCTATTTTAATTTGATCAAGTGCCAATATGCAGTCAATAGCTACATAGAGAGCCTGCTTGGCTCCTTGTGGAGGTTAAAACATAGATTATTCTCAGCGAAGTGTCAGCCTTATTGAGTAATACCATACATACCAAAATGTGTCAAAGGAAAATAGTAAATAATAAGAACCAAAGAAGCAAATTTACTCCTAAGGAGAGTTCAGAAGGAGGAGAGAGTTCTGTGAATTTAAATAATGAGCTATTCCATGGGGGAGTTCTGAGCTGTTTCTGGGAAGACATTGTGATCAGAAGAACATTTCACCATATCTAAAACTTACATAGTCTCAGATGCTATTGTATTTTTACCTACTACTCAAAACAACCCCAGTAATGGAAGCTAAAGAGAAAATAAACAAATGGGACTCCATCAAAATAAAAAGCTTTTTTACAGCAAAAGAAACCATCAACAAAACAAGAAAGTCCACTGTATGGGAGAACATATTTGCAAATGTTATCACTGATAAAGGTTAATCTCCAACATCTTCAGGCAGCTTATACAACTTAATAAAAGAAAGATAAATAATCCAATAAAAAAATGGACAATGGACCTAAATAGAATCTTTTCAAAATAAGACAGAAGGAAGGCCAAGAGGCACATGAAAACATGCTCAAAGTCACTAGGTAACTGAAAGATGCAAATCAAAAGGGATAATGAGGTACCATCTCACACCTGTCAGAATGGCTATCATCAACAATTCAACAAATGACAAGTGTTGCTAAAGATGTGGAGAAAAAGGAACACTCATACACTGCTGGTGGGAATGCAGACTGGTGCAGCCACTGTGGAGAACAGTATGGAGTTTCCTAAAAAAACTGAAAATGGAACTCAGTAATCCCACTTCTAGGATTATATCCTGAGAAACTATTATAGAAACACCAATCAGAAAAGATATCCCGTCAGCAGATGACTAGATCAGAAAACTATGGTACATCTACACAATGGAATACTATGCTGCCATAAAAAAGGAATTCTTACCATTTGCAGCAACCTGGATGGAATTGGAAAACATTATGCTAAGTGAAATAAGCCAGTCAATGAAAGAAAAATACCACATGATCTCACTCATTTATGGATAATAAAGAACATTATAAACTGATGAATAAAAAGATAGAGAGGCAGTAAAGCATCAAATAGACTGTCAAATTACAGCAGGAAGGTTAGGGAGAAGTGGGGGAGATAAGAGATCAACCGAAGGACTTGCATGCATGCATATAAGCATAACCAATGGTCGTAAAACTCGGGGGGGGGGGGGCGCTGGGGATATGGGAGTGAGGTGGGGGAGGGCAATGGTAAGGGCATTACACATATAATACCTTAATAAAAAAAATAAAAAAAACCAACCACCCCAGGAGCAATATAGTATTGTACTGTTTTCATAGATAAGGAACATGAAGGGACATGTGCATGCTCAAATAACAAGTCAGTTTTGGAGCTGGGACTGGAACCCAGGCAGGTAAGCACTACGGATCTCTGGCATGAGCAGGTTCAGAGAAGTGAGTGTTGATGTGCCTCCTGAAGACAGAAAAGAGGCCAGACTGTCAGGCACGACAGACTTTGTAGACATTTTCCTCCAGACCAATGTGTGTTCAAGTGCAGTATCTGAACTTTGCAGGCTTGGATAGCACGTTCAATATATTCTGTTTAAGAAACTTCTCCCTCAAGCCCACTGAAGTGCACAGAAACAACCACATCACATTTGTCTTTGTAATTATGTATTTCTTCTGAACTGATAAAGAAAACGATATTCTTTTCCGTTCTCATTTAGTTATTACATAGTTGGAGAAAAAAATCGATATTGTGAACTTACTGGGAGACTGGAATGGTCCGGCGTTGCCCCACACTGTGCGAGTAAGTATATTCTCTCTTTAGAATTTAGATCAGTAGTTCTCAAACTTTTTTTGGCCTTGGCTTGACTTCATGCTTTTACATTTTTAAAAGACACCCACATAGCTTTTCTTCAGATAGAATATGGTGATGGCTATTCCATTATATTGGAATGAATTCTGAAAAGTTTTAAGAATAATTATGTATTAATTCATTGAGAACAGGAAGTACAATGCGCATTAATAGATACAACAAAATTTTTAAAGGAAAACCAGAATTTTCAAAAAGTGAGAATAGTGGCATTGTTTTATGTGTTTGCACACTCATCCATATGCGTGTTACATGTAGACCTCAGGATTGGGCTGTTGCATTCACATGCCATTTGTACCTTTGGCAGATTGAACTACATACTCTTAAGGATGAAAAAAGATACTGCATTTTTTTCCATAGAATTTTTGTTCCAAATGGATATTGGATATTTAACTAGATTATAGAACTCACATGGTTAATGAATCTATTGAAGACATTACTAATGCTGTTTTAATCTTTTACCTTTTCCTTTTCCTTTCCTGTCCTCTTTTTAAGGGATTTTGTGTCAACCGCCTCCACAAATACCCAATGGAGAATTCAGCAATAGCGACAAGGATGTATTTGAATATAGTGATGTAGTAACTTACCATTGTATACCTTCTAATGGGCCAGATGACTTTTCACTTGTTGGAGAGAACAAGCTTACTTGTTCTGGGCGTAACAAATGGAGACCTGACCCTCCTGTGTGTAAAGGTAATAATATTTCCACTTCTTTCTTCCAAATTCCCTAAAAGTAAACAGAACAGTCATATGTTCTTGCTCCTCCTGTTAAATTGGTTTCTAAATTAATCTACAACAGGCCAAATAAAAATAGAAAAAAATAGCTCTAGTTGTAGAGTTTCCAATCCCTTGCCCCACCTGCTTTTGGTATTTCACTGTATACCTTGAGATTTACTGTGTATTGCATGGATGAAGACATTTTTGCTTGAAAGCACCACAAAACACACACTGGCTTAAAAATAAAGTGTTATCTGATAATACAGGACCTGATTAAAATCACCTACAAGAATCTCACAGCTAACAGTATACTTAATGTAATAGAGTAATTTATTTCCCCCTAACGCTGAAACAATATAAGGATGTCTATTCTCACCACTCTATTCAGCATTGCATTGAAGGGCCTGACCAAACAATAATGCAAGGTATGGAAACAGGCAAACATAGTGGTAATGAAGAAATGAAATAGATTTTATTCACTTATGGCATGATTATCTTTTTGGAAAATAGGAAAGACTGAAGTTTTAGACGAGAACTGAATGTGCAGTGATAAATCACATGTCTATTTGCTAGCAATAATCTATTAAAAATTAAAATTAATTTTTTTATTGATTTCAGAGAGGAAGGAAGAGGGAGAGGAGAGGAGTGGAGAGGAGAGAGAGAGAAAAACATCAATGATGAGAGAGAATCATTGATCAGCTGCATCCTGCATGCTCCACACTAGGGACTGGACCCACAATCTGGGCATGTGCCCAGGAATCCAACAGTGACCTTCTGGTTCAAAGTCGATGCTCAACAACTGAGCCATGTTGATTATGCAGCCTTTCCATTTTATAAACATCTCAGTTCATGTATGTTGTTGCTACCTAACAACTTTTTCTTTCATATCTTTGCATGGCTAGTTCTTTCCAACTTGAGCTCATGTATAACCTTCTCACAAGAGTCTTTCCTGCCTTTCTGAAAAGCAGCATACTGTTATCAGTGTCAGCATGAATTTTTTTTAAACCCTAAATTAAGGAGAATCAGAAGTTGCTTTTGAACTTGCCCAGAATTTGTATCTGGTAATCAAACCTTTTCAAAACTTGCCACTATTGATAAAACACATAAGAAACTAACCGGTTTGGCTCAGTAAATAGAGCATTGGCCTATGGACTGAAGGGTCCCAGGTTCGATTCTGGTTAAGGGCATGTACCTTGGTTGCGGGTACATCCCTGGTAGGGGGTGTGCAGGAGGTAGCTGGTTGATGTTTCTCTCTCATCGGTGTTTCTAACTCTCCTTCTCTCTTCCTCTCTGTAAAAAGTCAAAATATTTTTTAAAAAGAAACCAATAATCTATCATTATAGTCTGTTCTAGGTGGACAAAGGTTATTAGATATCTCTATGTCTGTTTCCCTGGAATTAAAATCTTTTATTTAATTAATATCCTGACTTCCATGTCTTGTCTCTTTGTTCCCAGAGGAAAATACTACTTTGCAGTAATGTTTCTGCCCTAGGTTAAAAGAATTTTCCATTAATTCTGAAATTTCTTTGCTTTTCAGTGGTCAAATGCCAACCTCCAGTACTCGAGGATGGGAGAGTCGTTTCTGGACTTGAGAAAAAATTATACTACAAAGCTGAGGTTACAATTAAGTGTGAGAGGGGATTTTACCTTGAAGGCAGCAAGACACTTTTCTGTGGAGCTAACAATAATTGGGAGCCCGCGTTGCCAAAATGTATTAAAGGTACAAAAAGTATCATTTTCTTTCTTTCTTATTTTCTTATTTTATTTTATTTTATTTTATTTTATTTTATTTTATTTTATTTTATTTCTTTAACATTAAAAATCAGTGATATAGCCAAAACCGTTTTTGACTCAGTGGATAGAGCGTTGGCCTGCAGACTAAAAGGTCCCAGGTTTGATTCTGGTCAAGGGCAAGTACATTAGTTGCGGGCACATCCCCAGTAGGGGGTGTGCAAGAGGCAGCTGATATATGTTTCTCTCTCATTGATGTTTCTAGCTCTCTGTCCCTCTTTCTTCCTCTCTGTGAAAAATCAATAAAATATATTTAAAAATAAATAAATAAATAAAAATCAGTGATACAAAATAACTGAAAAGAAGCAAGGAAGTTTTGTATTTTATTCTGTGTTTGTATTCATTTCCAGAACAGAGGTAGGACATATAATTTATGTTTTGGTGGGCTCTTAACACATCATGTACATTTACTGTGCCTACATTTCTGTTATTTGGTACTATTCACTTATCAAAATGTATAGGAAATTTTTTTCAAATAAATTGAAGCATGGGAAACTTTATCTATATGAATCAAGAATGAAAGGTATCATTTTGTATAAATGGAGATAATAACCAAGTGGTTATTTTGTTTTTATTTTTTTTAAATATATTTTATTGAGTTGTTACAGAGAGGAAAAGAGAGGAATAGAGAGTTAGGAACATCGATGAGAGAGAATCATCACACTGATAAGCTGCCTTCTACACACACGCCTTCTCCCCTGGGGATGTGCCTGCAACCAAGGTACATGCCCTTGACCGGAATCGAACCTGGGATCTTTCAGTCCGCAGAACGCTCCATCCACTGAGCCAAACCGGTTTTGGCAGTTATTTTGTTTTTCAATGTCAACTCCTCCCAGGAAAAAAAACCCTACACTTTTTCCTGTCTCAGGTTTGGTAACTTCCTGCTTTATTTTTCTAAATTGTTTAAATACCTATGGGCTTTAAAAAAAAAAAAATCTTTTGACTGGTGATTTGGTCATCCATCATTTTAATAATAAAAAGAAAAATAACATTTTTGCAGCTATTCTACTTGTTATACTAGTGATTCTAATTGATTTGCCATAGTCCGCAGATCTACATAGGTGTGTAAACTTGGGCAATAACACAAGCTTTACTAGTAAATGTGCTCACTTATATGTAAAATGATTTAATGTCTTCCTTCCTGTATAATAGAAAAGTTAAAATGGGATGCACTTAAGGCACTTAGCACAGTGCTTATCATATAGGAAGCTTACAACATTATTCCAATCAGTACATGGAGAGGAAGGTCCATGGATTCCATGGATTCTGTCAGTGACTTTGCTCTTTTATTCATATTAAAAGAGATACGTTGATACCTTTAATAAACTATCTTTCCATGACCACTTTAGTTCTTTTTATACAGTACCACTTAAACTAGGTTGTTTCTACTGTCTCCAGAACAAGACTCATTTTTTTTTTTTTTTTTTTTACCAACTCTCCACATTTCATACAGTTATTCTTTTTCTCTATACTGGGAGTTTTTATTTGGCAACAGAAACTAAATTTCATAGCAACGGAAAGACAGGGAGAGTCCTTAATTATTTCAATGAAATAATTGCATGAACTACTGATCCACCATTCTGCTGAAGACTTCAGAGATCAGTGTTCCAGTCAAGATGGCAGAATAGGTAAGCACTGTGCTTGCCTTCTTTCATGACCGCATCAACTTACAACTCAGTCATCCAACAGTCAGCCTGGTGACCCACCTGAAGACTAGCTGAACTCCTACAGCTAAGGATAAGATTGAGAAATACCAGCCCCACACCAGGCTCCCTGAAGGAGGAAGTCAGTGCTGGGAAGAGAAGTCCCCATGGCAGCTGGCTGCGAAAATAGGTGGTGATTCAGCCCCAACCTGGTGAGATGGAGGGTTGCTTGAAACCCAGACTTTCTCCTAGAAAGCCTGAGCACACACTCCATCCCTCACAAGCACTCACCCGAAGCACCCAGAAAGGAACAGCAGCTCGAAAGGCATCAAGACATATGGGGAGAAACTGAGTTGTGTGGCTTCAGCGTGGAGGCCATTATTGTCCCTGTGTTGAGCACTCTCCCATGCAGCCTGCGGGGACAGACAGGAACTAAATCCGAATCTGCATTAACCCAATAACTACCACTCACCTAACCCTCATAACTCCCTGAGACTCAGCTCCACTCAATGCACACACTGCACTTGGCTCTTTCAGTGGCTGTGCCTCCTAGGCAGACATGGCTCATGCTGCAAGCTTGCTTTCTTTCCCTTCCTTTCTTCCTTCCTTCCTTCCTTCCTTCCTTCCTTCCTTCCTTCCTTCCTTCCTTCCTTCCTTCCTTCTTTATTTTCTTTTAAAATATATTTTATTGATTTTTTTTTTTTTTTACAGAGAGGAAGGGAAAGAGACAGAGAGCTAGAAACATCCATGAGAGAGAAACATTGATCAGCTGCCTCCTGCACACCCCCTACTGGGATGTGCCCGCAACCAAGGTACATGCCCCTGACAGGAATCGAACCCCGGACCTCTCAGTCCGCAGGCCAACGCTCTATCCACTGAGTCAAACTGACTTCGGCTGCAAGCTTTCTTAAAATCTCCCCAAGAAGGCAGTGACTGGCCTCAATGTGCCCTGCGCCTTTTGCTGAATGGCCCCAGGCCTGGCCTGGATGGCAGCTAGCCTCAAGTCATGGTGTGGCTTCTCCCATGAGTCTCCTGACTCAGTATAGGCATTTGCCAACCGGGATCACTTGTAGCTCCTACCAGGTGTCCTTGGCTGGGCATGGATAGTGGCTGACCTCAGCCTAAACTGGAGCCTCTCTCAAGAAGCTCCAGAAACAACCTCAATTCACCACAGAATACCACTCTATCAGCTGCACAAAAGGCACATCAAAAGGGTAGTCTTAGAAAGCACCAGGAGTATGGAACCAGCCCTCACAAAGGTCATTACCAGTCTTCAGAACTAGTCACCCTGAGGGACAGCTCCACCTACTGAGGAGCAAACAACAATCAAGGTTGAACTACAACAGGAACTACACACAAACCACACAAGGGACAGTGCCACTGAGCCACTGGGTGCCAAAAGGAAACCTCTTATATAAGGCCACCCTAACAGAACTGATAAATGTAGCAGATCTTTTTAATACATACAAAGAGGAGCAGCCAAAACGAGAAAAAGAAGCATATCCCAAATTAAAGGACAGAAGAAAACTCCAGAAAAAGAACTAAGCAAAATGGAGGTAAGAAATCTACCAGATGCAGAGTTCAAAGCACTGCTTATAAGGATGCTCAATGAACTTTGGGGGAAGAATAGATCAACTGAGTAAGAACTTCAACAAAGAGATAGTAAACATAAGAAAAATACACACCATAGAAACCATGAAAGTAACCACTTAGAAATGAAGACTATAATAACTGAAATGAAGAATACACTAGAAGGAATCAATAACAGTTTAGATGAAACTGAGGACTGAATCAGTGATTTGAAAGGCAAGATAGTGGAAAACACCCAATCAAAATAGCAAAAAGAAAAAACCCAGAAGTAAAACGTTAAATAGCAATATAATAGCTTTATTGTAGAAATATGTTGAATATACAGATCAACCAGCCACCTTAGGAAATGATAGATAGCTATAGATGATAGAAATATCCTTGCAGAAAAGAGAGAGAGAGAGAAACATCAATGATGAGAATCATTGATTGGCTGTCTCCTGCATGCCCCCTACTAGGGATGGAGCTGCAACCCAGGCATGTTCCCTGACCAGGAATCGAACCATGACCTCCTGGTCTATGGGTGGATGTTCAACCACTGAGCCACATCCATTGGGCTATGAACTTAAAAACATTTTTTTTTTTTAATGATTCAGAGGGCAAGAACACAGCACAAGAGCTAGGAGCTTAGCCTGCAGTTTTTCCCTAATAGGCAGTGTGCATGAAAGACCTCAGAAAACAATGGGTGCTAGACTCAGGTTATGAAATTGAACCCAATTAAACACAACAAGTACTTATTGGCAGACATAGATTTTCTCAGGGTTGACATATGAAACATGTGAAACCTTATATTTTAAAATACATTAACCCATATCTTGATCTATGAAGTACACAGCACTTTCATATTTTTAAAAATATGTATTTTATTGATTTTTTACTGAGAGGAAGGGAGAGAGATGGAGAGCTAGAAACGTAAATGAGAAACATCAACCAGCTGCCTCTTGCACACCCCCTACTGGGGATGTGCCCACAACCAATGTACATGCCCTTGACCGGAATCGAACCTGGGACATTTCAGTCCGCAAACCGACGCTCTACCACTGAGCCAAACTGGTTTCGGCATAGTACTTACATATTAATCACCTGTTATCATAGCATCTCTTGAGGAACAACTTCATGCAGAATGTAGTAGAAAAAGGAGACATATGATTTACAACCTTTAAGAACTTACCTTCTTAAAGAACCCTGGGGTTTCATGAGACTGTGTTTCAAACTGTGAAAGAGTAATCTGGCCCGACAGACTACAGATGTCTTTTTAGGAGAGTTGTGAGTGTGAGATGAATTAAAAAAAAAAAAAAAAAATGGAGAAGGACGCATATCTGTGGATATATTTTAAAATCATAAAACCATTGCTGCTGTCTCTTCAATTTACTGTTAAATGACTTTTCACCTTATTCTCCAGCACATCAAAAGCTCATCAGATAATATTTAATGCACAAGCATGGCATAGCACTACCACCATCACTTGGGTAAAAGGATGAAACAGCCGAAACCGGTTTGGCTCAGTGGTAGAGCATCGGTCTGCTGACTGAAAGGTCCCAGGTTTGATTCTAGTTGGGCATGTACATTGGTTCCGGGCACATCCTCGGTAGGGGGTGTGCAAGAGGCAGCTGGTCGATGTTTCTCTCTCATCAACGTTTTTAGCTCTCTATCTCTCTCCCTTCCTCCCTGTAAAAAATCAATTATATAGATATAGATATAGATATAGATATAGATATACAGTTATTTAAGATCTTTCAAAAACCTTTGCTTTTATTTACCATTTACCGTGAAGCTACATCCAGACCACAGACCCTGGCCGACGAAAAGAGTTAAAATAATTTACTCTCACGTTCTTATCTCATGCCCAGGTGCCTGCGATGAGCTACCAACATTTACGACTATGAAACTAAAGGGCGATGCTGCGCCCCACTATGCCCCCGGGGACACAATAGAATATGAGTGTCTCCCAGGATACAAGCATCTTGTTCCCATTCTTCCCACGTCTACTGTTTGTGAGACTGATAACACGTGGTCACCTCTCGAGGAGGCTTGCACAAGTGAGTTTGCAAAACTTTTCTTTTTGTTCCTTAGACGTTTTCACACATTGTAGGCTCAGTATGTCACTACTGTGAGGATGGTTATCTCCTGGGAAAATGTATTGTAGGTAGCACTGTTTCTGAAATTTTCCCTAGAATCTCTTCCTTGGCAATTGGTTGTGAGGGGATATGTGAATTTTATTTTTATTTTTTAAAAATATATTTTATCGATTTTTACAGAGAGGAAGGGAGAAGGATAGAGAGCTAAAAACATCAATGAGAGAGAAACATCAACCAGCTGCCTTGTGCACACCCCCTCCTGCGGTTGTGTCTACAACCAAGGTACATGCCCTTGACTGGAATGGAACCTGGGACCTTTCAGTCTGCAGACCAGCACTCTATCCACTGAGCCAAACCGGTTTCAGCAATATGTGAATTTTAAATTTGGGCTTTTGATAGGTAAGGAAAGAAAATATTTCCATGAATTCAAAAGAGCCGTGTCCAATTTTGACTCGAATCTGTATTGCAATCGGTATAAAACAACACATTTGGCATTTTTCTTTCAGAAAAATTATGTCCACCGCTAGCAGATGTTCAAAATGCCCAAGTATTTTACACACATGGAACTTTTCAATTTGGTTCAGAGACTCATTATACTTGTAATGAGGGGTAAGTAAGGTGCTCCATTAGAGGACTAATGTAAATGTTACCAATCTTATTTTGGGGTATTTTCTTAAGCATTCCTATAATGTGGACTTCTTCTTGCTTTCTGGGTGACAAGTTACACTGAGAGCTAATGTATGCTTTGGCTTTTTATGGAGACAAAAGATATAGAAAGAATTTTTAATTAAAAGAAAACAAAATAGTATAACACTTACTATATATTATAATGCTATTGTTAGCCTTGAAAATATAGTAATCATGGTGATTTTATCCTTAACAACAAAGTGCACCCTGTATAAAACGGCCCACCCTGAGATTTGAAAGAGGGTTTGTAGAAATGGGAGGTAGAATTGCCAAGCAAAAGTAATCTAACCTTCAGATTACGCTGTCAGGTGTTTCCAGACAAAATTGACAGGGGTAGCCAGTTTCTTAGGCGAAAAACCTTATTTTCGAGACTTTTACAATGGACTGAAAGTCTCAAAAACAAGTGCTGAGCCCTTAACAGGAGGCTTTTTCCATTGGGCTCTTTTAATAGTATATATGTGAGATATTGGAAATTTACTTTTAAAATGTGCATTTAGAGGATAAATGTAATACACTATAAAAATGCAATGGGCCCTGGCTGGTTTGGCTGAGTGGATAGAGTGTCAGCCTGCAGACTGAAGAGTCCCGGGTTGATTCTGTTCAAGGGCAAGATGCCCAGATTGTGGGCTCAATCCCTGGTGTGGGGTATGCAGGAGGCATCCTATCAATGATTCTCTTTCATCATTGATCTTTATATCTCTCTCTCCCTATCTTTTCCTCTCTGAAATAAATAAAAATATAAAGAAAAAAATTTACTGACAAAGAGGGACTTACTTCTCTCATTGTGTTCTATATGCTTTTAAGCTTTGGGCAGGTATCATTCCCTTTTGTGCATTACAGTTTTTTTGTGTGTGTTTAGCTAATTTTTTTATAATGAAATGATGAAATTTCTTCCTCATTTCCTTTTATGTATTTTCTATAGTGATTTTGTCCGTGGTTCCCATTGGGGTTGCTTTTAACATTCTAAAGTTATAACACTCCTATTTGAATTCATACCAATTTAAATTCAATAAATTACAAAAATGAATAATTTACAGCTCCAACTCCACCCTTTTTTGGGTGTTAATATCCTATTAACTTCTACACTAATAATTGAAATTCTGACTTCTACACTAATTTTTTATTTTATTTTAAAAGATTACTCTCCAATATCTCATGTAAATAAATAAAAAATCCCAATACAATCCCATTGTTGCGATAATACAGATTTTATAATTGCTCACATATTTACCTTAATGATATGTTTATTTATCCATACAAGTTCAAGTTTGTAGTGTCTTTTAATTTTACCTTTCAGGTCTGTCTCCGAGCATTTTATTTATTTATTTATTTACTTACTTATTTATTTTGCAGGCCAGGTGTAGTAGTGAAAACCCCTTCTGCTTCTATTTCTGGGAAAGTTTTAACATCTCCCCCATCTTGAAGCACAGTTTTACCGTATGGGGAGATTTTTGGTTCACAGTTTGCTGCTTTTTTTTATTTTTTATTTTTATTTATTTATTTATTTATTTATTTATCACTATGAGTCTATCAGTTCATTGTTCTGGCCTCTGAGTTTCTCATGAGAAATCTGCTGATTATCTTATTTAGGATCCCTTGTACATGGTGATCCTCTTCTAGCAGCTTTCAAGATCTCTCTTTATCAGGGGCTTTTGAAAGTTTGACTATTAGGGGTCTTAGTGTGGGTCTTTTTGAATTCATATTCTTGGGGTGTGTTGAGCTCCGGGAGTTTTTATTTACTTGTCTTTCATCAGCATTGGGAAGTTTCAGCCTTCATTTCCTCCCAAGATCCTTTCTGCCTCTCTCTCTTTATCTTCTCCTCCTAAGAGTCCCAGTGTGTGTATATACTGGTCTGCTTATGGGTGTCCCACAGGTCCTAAAGCATCCATCTTTTTTCACTCTGCTCCTCCAACTCAGTGATTTCCATAGTCATTTCTTCTCATTTGAGGATTCTTTCTTCTGCCTGCTCAAAACGGCCTTTGATTTATGTAGTGAATTGTTCTTTGCATTTATCATTCTTTATTTTATTTATTTTTTTGTGTGTGTCACTATTTATCCCTCTCATACTTTCTTTCACCTCTACCTGCTGTGGGAGTGGGGTGGGTGGCTGCCACTGTGCTGAGAGCTGAAATGGACCAATATTCATGCAATTTATTTTTCCATATTTCTTGGAAATTGCAAGCCTCCAGGGTTCCAAAAATAGTGGCGTTGGGCAGATTCTAGCAGTGAAATTGTTGTCTAGTTGGGAGGCAGAGAAGCAGTATTTCCTACTGAGCCATCATCCCCAAATTCTCTCTTAACACATTATAATATAGGGTCAACAGTGAGCCTTGGGGACAGTCATCTGGAAGCAGTTCTAGGCAGTTCCAATGTCTATTTTGTAATTTGATCAAGTGAAAATATCTATAGTCAATAGTTATACAGAACCTGCTAGATACTTTGAGGAGTACCAAAGGCTAAGATATAGACTCTTCTCAAAGAAGTAGCTTTACTGAGGAGCCCATTTTATACAGAGAGCTGTGTCAACGGGAAATAGTAAATGCGAGTACTCTAAAGAGAGTCCAGAAGAAGGAGGTAGTACTCTGTGACTTTAAGTCATCAGAGATTTCATCAAATAGGAGTATTTCTGAGCTATTCCTAGGAAGGCATTCCGACCTGAAAAATATTCATTACACCAAAACGTACCTACTGCATTCACGGTGTCCCAGATGCAAACTCATGTACTACTTGAAACAACCCACAGAACACATATTATTATTCGTTATCTAAATGCAGAAATCAAGAAAGAGAAACATTATGGGACTTGCCCAACACAAATAACAATTCGGTTGTGGAGCGGGGACTCAAATCCAGTCAAGTAAGATGGAGGGACAGATCTCTCTCTGTTCATGCTTGTCCTGACTGTCTTGACTGAGCCGAATGACGTGAGCAAGGGCAGAGAAGTGAATGTTGATGTAATTGCCGGGTATAACGAAGAGGCCAGGCTGACAGCAATGATAAATTTACTTAGACATTTTGCTCTAGACCACTACATGCTCACACTCAGAATTTCTCTTTCATTACACTGCAGATTTGGTTAGCACATTCAGTACATGTCACTTAGGACACGTTTTTCCCTGAAACTACTGTGGTATAGTAAAAAAACAAAACATACAAACTTGTTTTTATTGTGAGTCTTCCTTTTAACTGATAAAGAAGACAGTGATCTTTTCTCATGTAGTTATAGGTTAATTGGAGCAAACATTCTATATTGTAATCTTTCTGGAGATGATGTGGAATGGAGTGATAACCCCCCACAGTGTGAAAGTAAGTATATTCTCTCTTTAGAATTTAAAGAAGTAGCCCTCAAATTTTTCGGCCTGGTGACCCCTTTATGCTGCTAAGTTAACAAATACCCCATGGAGATCTTCTGCAGATGTATTAGGTCTATTGATATTCATTATATTGACATTTAAACAGACATTTTAAAAATAATTACATGTTAATTCATTTTTATAAACAGTAAGCTCAATACATATGAACAAATGCCACATTTTTTTTTCATCTAATAAAAAATTTTCAAAGCAAAGAGTGAAATCGTGTTTACATTTTTTTTTCAAAATTTTTTTATATGTGGCTTAAAAGTTAGCCGGAAAATTCATTCTATTGCATTATTAAACTCTCCAAAACCGCCAGAAATTTTCACCATAACACTCTTACGGATGAAACTGAGGGGAAAAAACACACAATAATATCTTGATGTTGTTAAGTATTACTAAATACTACTATAAACCATTGAGTTAGGAATAGATATTGGATATATTTATAAAATATAAAGCATTTTTCAACTAGCACAGAGTTTTAGTTTAATCATAGATCTATTTTCTCACTAAGTTACCAGTTCTCTAATTATGAGAACAAACCTAATCATGGCCTTTCAGAAAAATATAGGTATTTAACATAACTTGTTTTTTAAAGAAAATTACTTTTATTCTAAAAGTTCATTGCATATTACTTCCTAGTCAGTTTGACTCAGTAGATAGAGCATTGGCCTGCAGATTGAAGGGTACCCAGCTCAATTGTGTTAAGGGCACACTCCTGGGTTGCAGGCTCAATCCCCAATAGGGGGCAGCCAATCAATATTTCTCGTCATTGATCTGTCTATCTCTCTCCCTCCCCTTTCCTCTCAGAAATCAATACAAATATATTTAAGAAAATAAAAGTTCATTGCACAGTAGTATTTTGATTTGGGATAATATATTTTCTTGTAGAAACTTTCTTCTAGATGGATATTGGATTCACAACTGGATTGTAGATATCATATATAAATGACTGATGACAGTTCACAGGACATTACAAATACTGTCTTCGTCCTTCACCTTTTCTTTTGCCTTCTATGTCTTCTTTTTTCTCTCTTATTAAGGAATTTTGTGTCAACCCCCTAGAGAAATATCAAATGGAAAAATGCACCAAGAACCTCAAAGATACATTTGAATACAATGAAGTAATTTATAGTCCTAATCCTTCAAATGGACCATATGAATTCACTTATGAGAGGGAGTGAACCAGATGAATATTCACTTATTGAAGGGAACAGGCTTCTGTGTATAAAATATGGAGTAGTGACTCTCCTCAGTGTAAATGTAAAATAATTCCATTTACTTCTTTCTCTCTGTTTAAATCATATGTAAATACTTTCAAATTACTTTTACTGAAAAACAAACAAAAACCATATGTGCTTGCTCATCCTGTTACATTGGTTCCTAATTTAATTCAATATAGGTCAAACAGATTAAAAATTAGTTCTAGTTTTAGAGTTCCCCACCCTTCACCCACATGTTTTTGGTATTTCACTATATACATTGTGAATTATTTAATGTTTGCATGAATTAAGATTTTTGGTGTTTTGCTTGAAAGCATCAAAAAATTACACTCTGGCTAAAAGATATTTAAGGCAGTTGGGAATTTAAAAAACATCTGGGGAAAAGCAATATTTACATCAAATAATATAAACTTTAACACCAAGGCTATAACAAGAGACAAAGAAGGCCATTTCGTATATCAGAGCGGAGATAAAGAAGCAACCTAAGTGTCTGTCGATAGACATTTGGATAAAGAAGATATGGTACATATATAGGGTGTCCCCCAAAATGTATACACACACTTTCCATAATCATAAAGGCAGTGTTTGCTAAAGTACATTTTATTTTCAAAATTGAGCTCTGAGCTGTTAAAAGTGTGTGTACATTTTGGGGGAGCACCCTGTATCCAATGGAATGTCATTTAGCCATAAAATGGGTGAATTCTAACAATTTTCAGCAACATGGGTGGAGCTAGAGGGCATTGTCCTAAGTGAAATAAGAGAAAGACAAATACCACAGGATTTCACTTATACGTGGAATCTAAAAATATGAAATAAGCAATCAAAAGAAACTTACAGATACAGAAAAACTGAAGGATGCCAGACGGGATGGGGGTTAGATAGGAGGCTTGGTGAAAAAGGAGGAGGAATGAAGTACAAATTGGTAGTTACAAAATAGTCCTAGGTGTGTGAGGTCCACACAGGGAATGTAGTCAAGAATATTGTAATACCTGTGTATGGTGCCCAGCTATATAAATGTCTAACCACTAGAGCGTCTACCTAAAACTAACATGATATTGAATGTCAACTGTAATTGAAAAAAATCCTGCTAAACACACACACACACACACACACACACACACACACACACACACCTCCTGCATCCCCCCAAGATGATTAGTATCAAAAGTTTGTTTGGCCAAAACCAGTTTGGCTCAGTGGATAGAGCATCGGCATGCGGACTGGAAGGTCCCAGGTTCAATTCCAGTCAAGGGCATGTACTTTGTTTGTGGGCACATCCCCAGGAGACAGCTGATCGATGTTCCTCTCTCATCGATGTTTCCAGATCTCTATCCCTCTTCCTTCCTCTCTGTAAAAAAATCAATTAAAACTATTTTTTAAAAAAGTTTGTTTGAACTGACCCAGAACTTGCATCTGGTAATCAGATCTTTCTCAAAACTTGCAGTAGAAAAAAATGTGAGAAGCCAATAAACTATGACAAGTTTGTTTTAGCTGGAAATAAATAAATAAATAAATAAATAAATAAATAAATAAATAAATAAAATTGTTACATTTCTCTCACTCTGTTTGCTGAAATTAAAATGCACAAATCAAACACTTCTTGTAAAAAATCAACATCCTGCCTTTCATTCCTTGTCTCTGTGTTCTCAGTGGAAATTATGACTTTGCACTAGTTTTTCTCTCCTTTGTTAGAGCAGCACATTTTCATTAACTCTGAAATGTCTTCACTTTTCAGTGGTTAAATGTGAGATTCCAGTGGTCGAGAATGGCAGACTGGTGTCAGGACATGAAAAAGTGTATCATTACCAAGCAAAGGCTGACCTTGAATGCCTGGAGGGTTTTGACCTTCAAGGTAGCAGTAGGATTACCTGTGGACCTAACAATGATTGGGAGCCTCAGATTCCAACGTGTATTAAAGGTACAAAGGGTATCTTTTTCCTTCTTGTTTGTTTTTAAAGGTTTTATTTCTTTAACATTAAAAAAAAAATCAGTGACGCAGGATAATGGGAAAGAAGCCATTTCAGTAATTATAACGCTGTCTTGTATTCATTTCCATGACAGAGGTATGACATCCAGTGTACAAAGAATTCTGTTCTTGTTATTTTATATGTTTCCATGGGGTCTTAGCACATTCTGTAAACCACACAGGTGTATAAGTTTCTGTTGTTTGGCATGTTTATGTGTAAAAAGATATAGTAACATATTTTCAGGGTAAATTTCATAGGTTCCTAGCACATTCTATACATCACATATATAATGTGTAAATATATATCCATATATCCAAAAATATATAACAATCGTTTTTCAGAGTAAGTTTCATAGGTTCTTAGCACATTCTGTATATCACACAGGTGTATAATTTCTGTTGTTTGGCCTATTAAAGTATGAAATATATAGCAACCATTTTTTCAGAGTACATTGAATGATTGGAGTTTACACCTAAGTCCAGAACGAAAAGCATAATTTTATACAAATGAAAATAAAGCAATAATGCCCGAACATTTGATCCAACCTACATTACTTCTTTATCCAGTGTTGCCTCCTCCCAGGTCAAAATCTACAATTTCCCATTTCTCAGGCTTAGTAATTTCCTGCTTATCTTTTCAAAATTCTTTAAATATTTAAACATTGGTGATTTTTAAAAATATTTTGTATCTCTGGTGATTTTTCACTTGTCATTTTTAGTAATGAAGGGAGAAATACATACTTACAGCTATTTTAGTAGTTATACTCAGTGCCATAGTCAGCACATACACAGTTGTGTGACCTTGGCAAGTTGTGTAAAGTTTAAATGTACTTACTCATAGGTAATTCCTTCCTTACTGGGTGGCAGGATAGTTAAAATGTCATGTATTCAAAGCACTTAGCACAGTGTCTGTTGTTTAGGAAGCTCTTAAAGGAAACTCATAGATTTAGAGCATCACTCCAATCAATATTCGGGAATTGGAAGGTCTATGTGGCTTCTGTTTTTTTTAAATTATTTTATTTATTGTTCGAAGTATTTCAAGTAGTGGTACATATGTCACATTTTTCCCTCCACTGGCCTCCCCCCAGCCTCTCCTACATGCCCTCACCTGCCCCTCTCCCCCCAGTGTCTTGTATCAATTGGTTATGCTTATATGCATGCCTGCAAGTCCTTCGATTGATCTCTTACAGCCCCCCCCCCCCAATCTCCTCTGCCTTCCTGCTGTAGTTTTGCAGTCTGTGCAATGCTTCTTTGCCTCTGTATCTATTCCCCCCCCCCCCATTTCTTTCCTTTAAAAAATCTCGCCTCTGCAGACCAGAAATAAACATATAATAACAAAAAATGTTTGAGTCCCAGTTTCAATGTCAAACAGTTTCTTATGCGTACCTGTCAGCAATGATATCTGGATGGTGGGCACATGGTGTTCTGTTTTCATAATGTGTCTTTTTTATGTGTCATCAACTTCGCTATTTAATTCATTTTTAAAAAGTGATCTGGTGACAACTGTACAGGACATCTTGGTACTAGTATGGGACTGTTTCGTTTCCTGAACTGCAACCATTTACATGTTCCCACTTAATTGGAAAATTTCAAAATTTCTGCTGTCTCCAGAACAAGACCTATGTTCCTATTACTCCCACCTCTCCTCACCTCACCTCATACAATGACTGTTTTTCTCCTTACTGGTTACTTTTAACTTGGCAACAAAAATGCATTTCATAACCGAAAGGCAGAGTGAAATGGAGGACTTCTTGCATGGACTACCCATCAGCTGCTCTGCTTAAGAGTTGCGAGATGGTTTTCATGCGGTGGAAGGAATTATTTTCCTGATTTCAGTGCTGCTATCTCTGGCTTCCCACTGGTTGCAGTAGAAACAAGAGGAATACAATAGTCACCATTTCTCTGTGGTTTTGCTTTCTGCTATCTTAGTTACCTGCAACTGTGGTCCAAAATATTAAATGGGAAATTCCCAGAATAAACAATTCATTCGTTTTAAAATCCTCGCCATTCTGAGTAGCATGATGAAATTTCATGCTAGCCCACTCTGTCCCACCTGGGATGTGAATCATTCCTTGGTCCACTGTATCCAACCCACTTCATCTCATCACTGTAGGCAGAAGGAAGAGTATAGTACAAGGATATATTTTGAGGATGAGAGACTACAGTCATGTAACTTTTATTATAAGATACTGTTGGATTTGTTTTATTTGGTTATTAATTATTGTTGTTAATCTCTTACTGTGACTAATTTATAAATTAAACTTTATTATAGTTATGTATGTGTAGAGGCCAAAATAATATACATTATACACACACACACACACACACACACATATACACTGAGTGGCCAGATTATTATGATCACTGAACGCATAATAATCTGGCCACTCAGTGTATTTGTATCTCCAATGGATACTAAAAGTATTCTAGACTTTTACTTGAGATCAATCACCTAGTTGCCCTGAGTTTTCTGTCAGCCAGTGAAAAGGGGAAAACTGATGAGGTGCGCGATTTATAGTATCTTTGATATCAAATAAATGAGGTACTCAAGAGAAGTATACTGAGTGGCCAGATTATTATGCATTCAGAGATCATAATAATCTGGTCACTCAGTGCATATACATATATACATATACACACACATATATATACACGCATACACATATACACATACATATATATATACACATATATGTATATGTGTGTGTGTGTATGTGTGTGTGTGTGTGTGTGTGTGTGTGTGTGTGTATATATATATATATATATATATATATATATATATCTATATATATATCTCGTTTGGTAGTAACTGTTATTCCAGGCATCGACTGGTGGTCTTGGGACATATCCCCCATACATGTGGGGAAACTACTGTAGTGTGAAGAGTATTAGCTTGGGCTGATTTCACTCAGAGTCCTAGTTTGGCTCTGATTACTCAATTATATTATTTCTATGGGTTTTCATTTTCTATCATTTAATAATGGTGTTGAACTCAAACAAATTCTAATACTGGCTTCTAATTTGTTTCTAAATTTCTTGTTGTCCTAATATTTTAAAGGATTCAGGGGAATTATGCATGCTAACATGGTAATTAGAACACCTTTTTATAACTCTAGTATGTCTGGTAACTGGTTTCCTCCTTGAGAACCTTAGTTGAGTGTTGTGAGGTGTCAGGGAAAAAGAGATGTTTTGTTTTGGTGGACTGGTACATTAAAATTGCATGTGAAGTTTGTATTCATCGACCCATCGTGTTTACTCACAGGGTCCTACAGGGTATATGCACAGTGGGATAGCAGGTTTGCAGATATGCCCCTTTGAATGGAGTTGACCATAAAAATGTATAAAGGATTCCAAAACAGTGATACAATTTAGTGTACCCAATAGGAGATAATTAAATATGAAGACATTTTATGAAGAAGATAAAGGGCAGGAATCTTTTCTTACATATCAAAGACTCTCGATTATTTTTATCATCAGTTACAGGAAGACTTTGCAAAAAAAGGAACACTAGCAACATACAATGTGATAAGGTATTATAGATGTAATTGTGCATATATGAAAAAAAAATGTCCATGAAAAACTAAGTGGAAAAGGAGGAAACATAAAAATCATGTATTATGGGATGACTTGGATGTGAATTTTTAAAAAAGATATACAGGTTTACTCTGAGGATGTTATTTTTATGATTTATTATTAAATTTCTAAGATTTATGTTATAAAATACAAAGTTATAATAGTAAACATTCTTATGCAAATGTTTTTATGTATTTAGGTGACTTTCCAGAAGTAGAATTTCAAAATTTAGAAAGTAAGTGTATTTTTCATTTTGAAAAATAATCTTTTAAAGTAATTTAAAAAAATCAAATTAAATGTGATTAATTTTATGCTGATAAATCTGGTGAATAGAATCAAACTTATCTTTCCAGATGTCCATCCTGCTAATCAGGTCACTCCTCCTCCAGTGACCATCAGCACTCCAGGTTCGGTAACTCTTTTTCTTACTTACATTCTTAAGAAATTCAGCCAAAACCGGTTTGGCTCAGTGGATAGAGCGTCAGTCTGTGGACTGAAAGTTCCCAGATTCGATTCCAGTCAAGTGCATGTACCTTGGTTGTTGGCACATTCCCCCAGTAGTGGGTGTGCAGAAACAGCTGGTCGATGTTTCTCTCTCATCGATGTTTCTAACTATATCTATTCCTTTCCTTTCCTCTCTGTGAAAAATTAATAAAATATATTAAAAAAAAGACTCAAGAAAGTGGTACTACATTCCTTCAAAAATAAGAAGAAGAAGAAGAAGAAATTCATAAGGTGGTGGGTAAAAAACAAAACAAAAACATGTCATGTATTAATTTGCATTTCTTTCATTAACATTTTGGGTCTATATTTATTTATTTATGTTCTAAAATATTTTATTGTTCATTTACCAGAACTCATTATAAATTAAAGTCTTTTTGATACGAAGTGAACATTATTTTCTAGGTTTCTTTACATTGCCTTATTTTTAATAAGCCATTTTTTTTTAATTTTTTTATTATCTGAAATTTTCCATTTGTCTCCTGTTTCCCCAATTGACTCACTCCCACCCAGCCATTCCCACCCTGGGCAAGCCCCCACTGCCCCAGTGTGTGTATCCATTGGTTATGTTAATGTGCATGCATACAAGTCCTTTGGTTGTTAATAGCCATTTTTTAAAAGATTTTATCCAGTTTGAGATATATTGCATTTTTGTACATTTTCATTGCATAAGTAGCCTGCAGATTAATTAAAATTTCATACATTACAAAAGTATACAGAGTAAAAGATAGTTTCCTCTTTTTCTTATCCATTACCTGAGTTAATCACATAATAGTTTAGGTGTCTTTTCATCTATTTCTATACACCAATATCCTTATTTGTGCAATTTTACATATTTTGTGTTTTTTTTCCTTTTCTTTTCTTTTTTTCCCCCAGAAATGGCATCATGCTGTTTATATTTTTCAAAAACTCGCACATTTTATACTGTCTTAGATTAGGGGTGTGTTTAGATTGGGGGGGTGTTTAGATTTATTCCTACCCTTTGGATGATTACTTTGATATATGATAATTTTTATTTAATAATTTTCCTATCAGTGGTCATTTATATGACCACTGATTTAAATGCAGAAGTTTTACAGTAAGTTGGATTTATTGACTTTTTTCTCCTGTGTTTTTATTATAAAATCTGTAGGTCTTCCCCATGCTCAAATTACAAACACTTCAACCATATGTTCTGATTGCTTCTTTTTACCCCTTTTTTAATTTTTTTATTGATTAAGGTATTACATGTGTCCATATTCCCCATTGCTCCCCGACCCCACTCCCATACATGCCCTCACCCCCCAGTGTCTTGCATCCATTGGTTCTGCTTATATGCATGCATACAAGTCCTTCCATTGATTTTTACCTTCCTCTCCCCTCCCCAGCCTTCCCGCTGTAATTTAGCATTCTGTTCAATGCTTCTCTGCATCTGTATCCAGCTTTTTGTTAATCAGTTATAATGTTCTTTATTATCCATAAATGAGGGAGATCATGTCTGATTGCATTCTTTACATTAAATTGTTGGCGCATCTGAAATTCATCATGGTATATGGATTGATAGGGTTCCTTTACACTCCACTCACTCTCATGTGTTCTCTCCTTTCCTACTGTTGGAAGTGTCAGGTTTAACATACATTAAATTCATTAGTGTTCTAGTTGTCTCTGTTCCCTTGAATTCCGTCCATGCCTTTGCCAGTACCAAATAATTATTTCTCACTCTACTACTATCTGTTAAAATATCTGTCAGGACAGTTTCAGAAATGTTGGAACTCTATATTCATTTTTGTAGAACAACTTTTATTTTACTTTATTTTATTTATTTATTTATTTATTTATTTAATTAATTTATCATTTTAACCCTTTACGGGTACATTTTGATGATATTAAGTACATTCACATTGTCATGCAAACCGTTACTCTTCCAAAACTTTTTAATCATCTCAAATGGAAACCTTATACCCATTAAACAATAACCCTCTATTCATCCTCCCCCAGCCCTGATAAGCACTGTTTAATATTCTATCTATGAATTTGACTATTCTAAGTATCTCATTAAAGTGGAATCACTTCTGGCTGATTTCACTTAGTATATGAGGATTTTCTGTAAATGGTTTTTTCATATTGCAATTTCCTTTAATTGTAGATGAGACTCTAAATGATTTAGTAAGTCTTCCTATGTTTTAATTTTAAGTAGGGTCACATTGAACCCACAGGTTAATTTTATTTATATTTTTATTGATCAGCATAGACACACAGGTTTCAGGTGTGGGTTTCTACACAAGATCTGTAAATTGCTCCATGCACCCATCACCAAAAGTCAAATCTTCTCTTGTCACCTTATATTGGGACCCTCATCTCCGCTCAGTAGATGGTGCTGAATAGCAAGATTTTATTTTATTTTTTTTTTTTTACTCTTTGCAATCTTTATTTGTAAGATTTATACTTGGTCCATTGATGGATCACTGCCTACCACCATGATATATTTGATGTGTCTGCCACCGTAATAGCTTGCCATAAAAAATCTGTTCTGCATGTTTTGTTGTTGTTGTTGTGGTTTATTTTTTTAAATTATTATTGATTAAAGTACATATGTATCCTTATTCACTCATTACCCGCCCCCAATCCTTCCCACTCATGCCCTCACCCCCCTGGTGTCTGTGTCTATTGGTTACGCTTATATGCATGCATACAAGTCCTTTGGTTGATCTCTCCTCCCACCCCCCTCCCACCTTCCCTCTGAGGTTTGCTGGTCTGATCAATGTTTCTTTGTCTCTGGATCTGTTTTTGTTCAACTGGAGAGCATTATGCTAAGTGAAATAAGCCAGTCAGAGAAAGAGAAATATCACATGATCTCACTCATTTATGAAATGTAATGAACAACATAAGCTGATGAACAGAAACAGAATCGCAAGGTTTATACCTCTGTGATCTCCCAGTCTTGAACCTCCGTGGCTTCTATAAGACAGTGCAGCTGTGCTGCCTGGAGGTGGGCTTTGTTTTGCCTTCACCACAGTGGCAACCCCTGACCTCTTTAGGGGTCCATCCCGCTCAACTCTCTTAGGGTTCAGTCACACAGGGATCAGGGATTCCACTTCAACAGATAATATACTCCGGACCCCACTCCAAGGGCCACAGGAGGCGAGTTTTGGGAGTCCAAGTGGCTGCAGGCCCCTGTGGTTGGGTTTCTTTGTCTGAAACACCAGCGCCTGGCCTGACAGTGGAGAGCCACAGGGCAGAACCCTGCCATGGGCTAATTTTAAGAGTATACTAATGATAAATTTGCTTGCCCTTCCAAGAATATTGTTATAGGAAATATTAATGGGTAGGAAGAAGAACGCTGATGATGTTGTATATAAATTTATAATACTTCATACTACTTTTAATGAAAAATAACCTTTAAGGTAACTTATAAAAGAAAAAAATTGGTAAGAGGTTTTTTTGTTTGTTTGTTTGTTTTTACAAAGGTTTTATTGTCTTTACTTTTTTAACTTCTTTTGTTTTCCCAGGGAAACCCTCTGCAAATAGTACACCACCACCTAAGGACAATAAGGAATACGGTATTATTTTGATGACTCTGCATTATGTGGCCTTAGAGTTCTACATGGAAATATCATATTTTAATTGTCTAGAGCAGTGGTAGGCAAACTCTTTAGTCAACAGAGCCAAATAGCAACAGTACAACGGTTGAAATTTCTTTTGAGAGCCAATTTTTTAAACTTAAGCTTCTTCTAATGCCACTTCTTCCAAATAGACTCGCCCAGGCCGTGGTGTTTTGTGGAAGAGCCACCCTCCAGGGGCCAAAGAGCCGCATGTGGCTCCAGAGTCGCAGTTTGCCGACCACGGGCCTATAGTTAGAGAAGGAACAACCTGTCTCAAATGAGTGATAATTGACACTCGTACTTATTTCAGTGTTGCAGATACTATGACAAATGTAAGCAGTAGTATGTAGACACATGTAGTTAACACAGTTTTTAAAAGATGCCTCAACTTAGGATTCCTAATAGGGTGGGGTCACTTTTTCAATTGCTATGTTTATACGCAAGTTAAAATTTATTGACTGTAACTTGCTTTTTATGCGATCGTGTTATTTTGTGACGGTAATTTATAGATTAATTTCTTCCTATTCATACCTGTATAACCAAGCCTTAAATACCATAAGTTGGGTTTGTTTTTTTTTACAACCGGCTGGTGCATCACACTTTATGTACACTCCCAAGGTTCACACAACACATGTTAAATTATCCGATAAAGTAAAGTTGTACCATTAATGAAATATAAATATTTCTAGATGAGTAAAATGAAAAAAAAATATTGCATTTATTTATGTTAGATGTGTTTAGTAAGGTTAGCCTTTTCATGAAACGCACCTTAGGCTTGTTATGTTCTCCCCGGAACACGGTGGTCCCACTGTCATTGTGTCAGTAAACCCATTGCTATCTTAAGATGTTAAGATGACAATTTTTTATAAAAATGAAGAGTAAAATTGACTATTATTTATAAAAATGAAAAGAGTAAAATTGACAATTATTTATAAAAATGAAAAGAGTAAAAGAAAACATAATACTGTATTATGTTTTTATAGAAATTTAATAAAAACTCTGGCAGCTTAGAAGCAGATACTGCTAACATTACCAAGAATTAAGATGTGGCAGTTTTATTTATTGCTCTCTGGATAGTAAAAAATGTATGTTTAAGTTTCTAAGCATACTTTTTTACCATGTGCCCTGGTGTTTCGTTTACATTCTTAGAATCTCCTTAATTATTATGACTATATCACACTATTTTTTTGGAAAAAGATATAAGGATGGGTTGATGATGAGATAAAGCATTGTTTGTGAAGGCTACAGGTAACATCTGTGTGACAGAATAAGATAGCTCTTTACTATGACTTATTCTACAGACCAGCTTTTGGTAAAAATATACATATATAAATTCAATCCCTAATTATATTATAAGAAATGGTATACTGACTATGGAACTAAACCCACTAGAAAGAGATGACATATTTTTAGAACAAGTTTTCTCTAATATAACGAGCCCTGTGTGTTCTAATAATATCCTTTACTAACTAACCTAGTCTGGTAGCTCCTGCACCAAAACAGTGTTGGGCCCTAAGCCTGGGGTCAGATTAGAAGGGCTCTGTGATCAAAATGAGCTGGTGCATCAGCAGTCACACTGAAGGAGACTGAACATTTTCTTCGATGTAGTTTGTAGATGGACTGACCTACATTTAAATATAGCAACTATCTGGAGACACACAGGTGCTAAATTACCCTCACACTGGTTTCTTTTATTCCTCAGGTGGAGGACTCATTGCTCTGATGGTTCTTCAGCAAGTAAGTGTCTCACACCTGGATAGCACTTAAAATATCGCTGTGGAAAAGTGCATTTTTATAAATGATTTCCCAGTTTCTACAGTTTTTAAAGCTTCAAATTAAGTAAACCAGTCTATATAGAATACTGGTGATTTTGTATTTTTCTATATTCCATATTTCCATTTAATAACAAACCCTATATAGTACATTTAAAAAAATATGATTAGTCATATGAGTTTTCATCCCAAATATGCTTTGAGTAGTATTCTAAATTAAGCAAGAACTCTTGTCTGGCTTACTGTGGACTCTGATTCCAGGAAACTGCATTTAGACAGTGAAGAGTCCAGATAGAATATTAATGTATATGCACTTAATAAAATAATATTTCTGCCCACTGAAATGTAAGCAACATTCATTCCTTCTGCTGGTTGGAACTGGGTATCCGTTTTTAGAGTTACATGTCACTTGTTTTCTGGTTTCTTGTAGGTCTTGGCGTTGCAGTAGTTGGCACCGGTGTGTACAGGTATCTTCACATCAGCCAAAGAGAGTAAATTAAATGTATTTCTAGAACGTATCGGTGCTTCTCACTCTTTTTTGAAAAATATGTTTTTATTGACTTCACAAAGAGGAAGGGAGAGGAAGAGAGGGATAGGAACATCAATGATAAGAGAGAATCATCAATTGGCTGCCTCCTGCATGCCCCACACTGGGCAATGAGTCTGAAATCCAGGCACGTCCCCTAACCAGGAATCAAACTATGACCTCCTGGTTCATGGTTCAACGCTCAATCACTGAGCCACACCGGCTGGGAAGTGCTTCTCACTCATGCCATACTTTTGTGAAGCCTTTCTTTGCACTCTGTATTGTATGCTGCCTTTGAAAAATGTGTGTTGTCAGAATTGCACTTCTTGCTAAGAGTATTTTCAGCTGCTTTTAATGTCATTGGAACAAGACTAATCTAAGCAGAATTGCTTTAGCTACTATGAGTGTAAGAAAAATGTGTGGGGTTTGAGGTTTAAGTTCTGCAGAGAATCATGGATCTTTATGGACCCTGCAACCTAAAATGATTTAACTGCCAAGGATATCATTCAGAATTGAAGGAACGGTAAGGAGTTTCCTGAACAAGCAAAAATTAAAGGACTTCATCATCATTAAAGCAGCTTTATAAGAAATGTAAAAAAGTATGACCAAAAATATCATAGGTAATAACAAATATTTAACAAAAGCACCAAACCAGACATTTAAAAAGTCCAAACAGTAAAAAGGCAAAAGTACCAAATTCAACTTACATTTCAAAGAATAGTTAGGAGAGACACAAAATGAAAAGATCTTAAATATGACATCAAAAACATAAAGCATAGGTATGGGAGTAAAAGTGTAGTATATTTTAGATTATATTAAAATGTAAATGCCTATCCATTTTTAATAGATTGCTATATATAGGACAGCAATTTTCAACCAATATGCCACAATTTTTTTTTTTTTTAACTTGCAATACCTGACTATTTAGTCAGGGGCACTGACCTCTTTTCCCTGAGGCTGTCAAATAAAGAAGTGACAATAGTCAATAGAACAATAGCCACCTGGTGTGAATGAATCAAAATTATATCTCATTTTTTTTGTCAGGCCAGCAAAAAAATGTATTTTTTGGTGTGCTGCAGAATTTTAGTTAGTAGCTTGTGTGCCAGGAGATGAAAAGGGTTGAAAAGAGTGACATACTATTATAGTACATAAACCTCATAATAGCCACAAACCAAAACCTATTAAAGACACACGAAGAATAAAGAGAAAGTAAACCAAGTAAAACAATAAAGAAAACCAGCAAACCACAGGGCAGGAATCAAAAGAAGAAAAAAACAAAACTGCAAAAACATCATCAACAACAAAAAACAAAGTGACAATTAGGACACACTTATGATAACTTTAAATATAAATATATTAAATACTCTAATAAAAAGGTATAGGGTAGCTGAATTGACTTAAAAACATAACCCATCTCTATGCTGCTTACAAAACACTAACATGAAAGATTCATTCAAATTGAAAGGAAACGGAAAGGATATTGCATAAAAATAGAAAAAAAAAGCTGGCATAGTAAAACTCAGTTCAGACAAAATACAAAAGAATGTAAAAAGAGACCAAAGGGACATTACATAAATATCAAATTTCAATAGTGAAGAGGCTATAACAATTGTAAATATTTACACACCCAACATAAGAACCCCTAACTACAATATATAGAGCAAGTATTAATGTACATAAAGGGAGAAACACACAGTGACACAAAAGTAGTGTGGGGATCTCAATACCCCACTCACTTCAATGGAGACATCATCCAGACCAAAAATTCAGTAAGGAAATGCCCTTTAAAATGTCACATTAGACCATATTGACATTCACTGAACATTTTATCCAAAAACTGCAGAATACATATTTGTAAAAGCACATAAGGGACATTCTTCATGATATTCCATATATTAGGTCACAAAATAAGCCTCAGTAAATTCAACAAGATTGAATTCAAGTACCTTTTCTGACCACAGTGGCATACAACTAGCAATCAAGTACAGAAAGAAAACTCAAAATGAACATAAATGTGTGGAAGCTACACATGCTACTAACAACCATGGACCAAAAAGGACCTTGAGAAAAATACAACAAGTACCTTGAGAAAAATAAAAACGAAACACAACTTTTCAAAAGGTATGGGATGGAGCAAAAGCAATTCTAAGAGGAAAAGTTCATAGTCATAGATGCCTCAAGAACCAAAATGCATTGCAAATAAACAACCCAGCTTTACATTAAAAGGAATTAGATAAAAAGAACAAACAAAACATAAAACAAACAGAAGAAATTAAATAAAGCTCAAAGTGGGAATAAATGAAAATAGAAAATTTTAAAAAGACAATAGAAAAGATCAATGCAAGCTAGTTCTATGGAAAGATAAAGAGAACTGAAAAACCTTTAGCCAAACTCATCAAGGAAAAAGAGAGAACCCAAATTAAAAAAAAATTATAAATGAAAGTGAAGTTACAGTTGACACCACAGAAATAGAAGGAATCATTAGAAAAGCTCTACAAACAATTACTTATGAACAAATTTCACAATTTAGAAGAAACTGATAAACTTCTACATGCAGATAGCTTTCAAAGACTGAACCAGGAAAATAATCCAGTTGACTAATTACTGGCAATGAAACCAAAGCAGTGGGCTCAGTAGAGTAATGTTCCCTTGTCCTTTTTATCAAAACTATCTGCTTCCCCTCCCATCTAACTGCTGTTTTATAAAGGCAGCGCAAGAGTCATGTAGAGTCTGTTTTGTACACTTACAAATCTGTCATTTACATTGATATTTTTACACTGCACGCTGCATAGGATTCCCATAAATACTGTTGCTACCCACTTAGCATTTATATTTTTCGAAAATTCCACATCTTTGCTCACAGCTTTAGTGACTTCTTTGGGATAAATGCCAATCAGGAATGGTGTA